GGAGCTAAAGCGTTGACAAATTGGATGTACCCTTTGTCTTTCGAAAGGGCATCATAATAATAGCCGTAAAATGTCAACGTGTCAAAATCTGCCAGCAGCTTCCTTCCGTTACTTCGTAAACGGAACACAAAAAATATTTTAACGCACACACACAGCCGCACACACACACATCGCACACATCACACATTCAAGGAGGCAAAAGGCTCGAATCTGCGAAAATGCGTAGCAAAACATGAAAATTGCACAGCCGATCGAATAAAAAGTGTAAGAGTGTGTTGTATTGAGAGTGATAGACTAGAAAATACCTCGTAAAGTGTATTAATTAAACATAACATAGTTAGAACGGAGCACAATTACGACTCGTTGTAGCATATGTATATCCTACACATCACACAGCAGACAGGCAGGCGGAAATGTCGTATACCTTATATAGTATTGACCCGCACACATTGCCTTGAACTTGTCCCACAAATATACCCTTTATTGAAAAAAAAAAAGGAAACGGAAATGCTGCAAGTACAGAGCGAGTGCATGCGTATATCTGTATGCGTATGTGTGAGTGGGTGTGAACGAGCATCCTAAATAAACAATTTAACAACTTGAAAATTCCATTTATTAACCTTTTTTCCGCATAATAAAATTCGAAACCTTTCTACACACATATCCCTCATACACGCACCGAAAAGAAGAATTGCACAACGTAGTGACGAGAAAAAATAATGTGGCACAAAACAGCAGAAGAGCAACAGAGCAGCAACAACAACATTAACAATACCAACAACAAGAGCAGCAGCAACAACAACAATTTGCTGGAGTGGATTAATAACAAAGTCAACAAGGATAACACGCCTTAATTATGTATGTACAGGCGTTAGTGCGCACTGTGAGGGATGTGGGGGCAGTGGGGGCGGCAGGGTTGCGGGCGGGGGAGGGGGCAGGTGGATAAAATGCTGGATGCGGCAAAAGGCAGAACCAACCCATCAGGAGCAGGCATTTTGAGGACGAGCGGGTTAATACATGAAAAGGAAGAGGCGGTGCAGGTGTTTGCGGCTGAATGACGTAAATAGTAGTCAAACACAGCGGCAGCAGCAGAAACAGCAACAAACAAACAAACAAACACACAGACAGACAAACCTACAAACTGACAGACAAACAGACAAACAAAACAGTCAACCAGCCAACTAACAAATGCGGGTCCTGGCCCAGCAGCCGCGCTCGGAGAGATCCTGTGGCACGTTGCCGTCTTTGCCACATTGATGAGCAGCAGCCCGAGTGGTGTGTCTCGATGTGTTCGTGTGTGTGTGAGAAAAGCAAATACTTGTTAGCGAATACGGGCCCAAGCGTCGCTGCGAATGCGGCAGCCGCTTTTCGTATTTTCATAAATTAATTTCATTTGTGATTTGGCCTGCCAAAGCACTGTCAATATGTTGTTATCATTGCTACTTCTTCTGCGTCTTCGTCTTGGTCTTCTTCTTATTTTATTTTATTTTTTTTTTTTTGTTTCTTTATTTTCCTTATTTATTTCATTGTTTTAATTGGCAGGCGTATTTCAGGCTTAACAGCAGTTGGAACCCTCGACAACCGTTTCTCCCGTTTTTAGCCTCACTTTGCATAAATTTAATTAAGACTTTAAACTGATTAAAAATAACTTTGGACAGTTCCACATTTTTGATCCAACAATTCAATTCATTGCTTTTTTTTTTTATTATTCACTTTAATAGGGGACTCGGGAAGGTTTGCTCTGAAAAGCCCAACTATTCAATTTTTGTAGAATTTTCTTTTGCAACAAAAATACCTTTTATAATTTTAAATGAAATTAATTAATATTGTTTTAATATTATTTTTAAAATTATATAATAATTTGTTTTTTTTTCATATATTAATATCATATTATAAAATATCAACCCAACTTATAAAAACCTTGTTCTAATTCGAAACTAGAATATATAAACAATAATTATAATTAAATAAATACATTCATACAAACCATTAACAAAAACATCAAAAAGTTTTACTATAATTCGCAAGCTGTTCTAACATAACTCCATTCGCTGCACATATATGTCTGTGGCACGCACTGAACTAATTGCAGGATTGATAATGCCAATAGACACATGCTAAACTTGAATTGTTGGCAGCTTAGCAGGCAGTTAGGAATGAAATTTATATAATTTACATAAATTAGCACTCAGCTGGGGGCCAAGTGCTGTAAATTATTAAATGAGGAAATACTTCTGTCCGGGTTGAGATGTACAATAAGAATTTAATTATACCAGACAAAGCTGCGCTCAGCCAAGTACAAGTGGCATAAAACAGAAAGGCACACAACACACACAAATACATGCACACATGGCCAAATGGTATATGTGTGTGTGTGTGTACATAAATATGCAGATTGTTCAGAATTTAAATTAAAGTTTCAGCTGTTGAAACTACACGCGGATTTTGTTTTCCCAGTGCTGCAATTAAAATTCTTAATCGCATCCATTAGCCCCAGACGAAGAGCAAAAAATAGACGGACTGTCAGACAGACGGTCAATGGAATAGTAGGACAGTCGGACAGTGGGAGTGTCGGACAGTCCGACAGTGAAGCAGACCGTCATATTTGAGTGCATGCTCTCGGCTTCAAGTTGGGGAACTTTGCACTCAGCCGCTGGATCAACAATTAGAGCCCATTAAAATTGTATCATATGAAATTGAAGCGTTAATGAAAATGTGTTGACATGAATTTTCGTGTACACCTGTCTCCACAGCAACAGCGAGAGAGTGGAAGGGAGATAGAGACAACTGGCGAGAAAGAGAAACGACCGAATAAATGCAATTAAAAAGCGTTCAGCGTATGAAATTACGAGCATAAAACATTTTCATCTCAATTTGCTTAATCATTAAAAAATATATATAAAGCATATATGTGGTATATATATATGTCTTAAAGTATAAGCTTGCCTGCAGAATACTTAATATGAAAGATGTTCCCAGTTGCAATTATACCAAAAGTCGCACTAACGAGGATTTTGCATACTTTCCAGAGCAATTCAATTAATTTCTGCCTTTTGCCTATGAAAACTCTACGAAATTTGTATCATAAAATATATATATATATATATATTAATATATATTCGAGAAATTCCACCTGCATGTATGGAAAAATATATAATATAGGATATATATACGACAAATCAATTGAGACGCAAAATCAAAGCTTCCTCGGTGGAAAATGCGAATCAAATATTTTTTGTGGGCAGCTTTTGTCCGATTGGCCTCAAACTTATATTCAAAGCTCTTCAAAAGAACATAATGAATATCTGTTTCATCGATTTTAGAATTAACATTTGCGACTGTGGTAAATTGTCAGTAAGCGGTTCCATGTTATTTATTGTTTACCACCCGTTCGGCTTTAAAATCATTTTCAAATGCGCCCTTCGAGGATGATAAATGCGGGCAAGACCGGGTAATACCAGCTAGTTAAATATATCTACTTAATAAATACATATTTAATATACTTAATAAACTTTCATTAAATTTCAAGAATCATGTTTTAATCAGAAATATTTGAGTAAACAAGTAAGAAGTTCTAGTCGGGAGCTCCCGACTAGAGGATACCCTGAAACCTCTTCTTCCAACATCAAATGCACATATATATACCATTTTACAAGCTATATGTCAACTTTGGTGACTCTAGCTCTTATTATTTACCAAAATTGCCCAAAAAACAGGATATCGATATCGATTTTTATCGATTACTTAATAACGGAGTAAGTTATCGATATTAGAAACAAACTCGATCTGCGCAGGCACTAGGAGGTTCTGAGATCCTTGCATTCAAACATACGGACAGACGGACAGGCGGACGAACGGACAGACGGACATGGCTAGATCGACTCGGCTATTGATGCTGATCAAGAATATATATACTTTATGGGGTCGGAGATGCTTCCTTTTGCCTGTTACATACATTTGGATTTTGAACAAATACAATATACCCTTATACCCATTTTTAATGGGTTCTAGGTATAAAAATAGACATTTTTTGAGTTGCTTCACAAAAAATTGAGAAAAAAATATATAAACAAATGGGACGAATTGTAGTGCCATGATAATTTAATTTAATTTATATTCCCATTGATAATTAAGGAATATGTGCATATTTTTGAAAGCATTTCAAGAGCGGCAGAGCTGGCCGGATGGCCAAATAAAATAGGCCCAACGCGTTGTTACTGTTACAGGACTTTTTTTTTATTCTGAGCTCTTAGCTTTTTTAATTTTAATATTTCTACCTAAAACACGAATAAACACTCGTTCGTTCTGTCAATCAATAATAAAAAAATAAAAATAAAATTTAAAAACGAAAACTAGACTTTAATTGAAGTTATTTTGTTATAAATAAAATATAAAATAAATACAAAATAATCCAAATAAAGTAGACTTTAAACAAGGTTATTTTTATTGTAACAAAAATGTAAAGTTCAAATATATATAATTGTATATATATATATATATAAAAAAAATTAAATATAAATTAAAAAAAAAATAATAATAATAAGCTGCTCTTTAATTTTATTTCATAACTTATTTTGTGGCAACAATTAAGTTAATTTACATTTAAAAACAGCAAAAAAAACAAAATAGCCATAATTAAAGAATTGAAATTGCGAATGACAGCAAAAAATTAATTGATTTTATTATCAAGCCATAATTATTTTATAATATTCAAATGTTGAACTTCGCATTTGCAAGTTTGCCCAATAAAAAAAGGTACGTTTTATTATTGTTATAATTATGATATGCACTATTAAATAAATGCACTTTATAAAATATATATACAAGGAAGTTGCTTCGTATTATTCCTACATTCTTGTTCTTGTATATACCTATATATTATATATGTATATGCATATATCAATTTGGAATCTGAACTTTATTGTCAGGCGCAGCATTTGGAGCTAATTTGGCCTAATCGTGTAATTGAAGATCCAAAGCCTCGAGATTAAAATACTCACCATTTAGACAGAGCTTCAGTTGAGCTGTAATTTGTAATTTAATTTTGTTATTGTTTCTTTTTGCTTTTTTTTGCTTTGGCACTTGGCAAAGTTTTTGGCCAAAAGAAATTAAGCGAGCTGCGAGCTGGTTTCGGGCTGCCGTTTTAAATACTTTCGAAAGTCATTAGAGGCTGACCGGGGGTAAGCCGAAACGCATTTCAGTTTCAATTAATTCGATCTATGGAAAATGCCTTTGAAGTGCTTGTCGAAGTGCCGACAGTGCGAATAAAAAAAAAAAACGAACGAAGTTAATCGAAAATTAATGCAATCATAAAAGCAACTCAACAAAATGTCACAGCTGAAACCGCACACACAAACACAGCCAAACACACACACACACACACACAAAAAAACACTAAATAAGAAGAAAACACGGAAAAATGTTTACAAATTAGCTACAATCCTCACCAGAATGTTTGCCCAGGCTGTTCTATCGGCAGGGAAATTCGCTTGCTTGGCCCGCTTCACTAACTGCAATTAACGGTACAATAATTCACGCAAAAAAAAAATAAATAATAGTATGCACAAAAGGAAATTTTGGTGGATTGGCCAGATCTTTTTGGCCGCTAAAATTGATGTTAACGCGACGCAGCGCCCAAGGAGCTCGCCTCTCCGATTCCGGCTGTGAAACGGACTATGGACAACGGCAACGGCAACCGCACGTGGCACAAACTACGCTGACTTAACTGGCTGCGATTCAAATAGCTGAATTGATGCGACTTGTCGACCGCTTCATGCGAGACCACGACCTCGACTGAGCGGCGGCAACACACGAGCACACGTCGCAACGTGGCAGCCACGGCAGAACGTCAACAGCAACGGCAACAGCGACCACACAGCGACCACGGACAACAAATGGGACAGATGAGTAGCGACTCGTTGGCTGCACTGCTTCGACTGAAACTGAATTTCTAACTGAGCAGCAGCATCAGCATCCAGCAGCAGCAGCCACGTGCAGCAGCCAGCCGAGCTCCGAGTTCGAGTTGCCCCCTGCTTCCTGCTTTCTGCTCTGCCCACCACATGCCGCAGAGTCCTTTGCACGAACAATAACAGACGCATGCTTCGGCTCGCCTAACAGCTGTTACGCGCACTGTTAGCTAACAGCAGCCGGAATGTTACGAAATGTAAACAAATAAAACGCATAGCTTACGTCGCTGTCGACGACGGCGTCGGCGTCGACATCGCTGCTATCGCTCCAACGCTTTCTTTCCGTTCCTTCTCTGCCAATAGTTGTTTCATTTCATGCTGCGGCTGCCACGTGCAGCTCCAGCGGCTCAATGGGTAGCTGGCCTAGTCTGGCGGCTTCAATACCAGATAAACTTGGCTATACCCTGGATTGTGTGCAGCAAATATTGCGGCTTTCCATTGCACATCCAATGCATAATGCATGCCACTTTCCAAAAAGTTTCAGACAAGAGAAAACTTTTCTAAAAGCGTGTACTATATGCATAATCTATATGATCTTACTCTTTAATAGAGGCACACGTGGCCTCTATATACTCTAAATGCTCTAGACTATGATCAATGCTTAAATAGGGTTAGGCTTACGTCAAGCTTAAATATATAAGAGCTGGACTTCATTTATATGCCACGCCGTTCTCATCTTCATTTTGTCTATTCTTATAAGCAATAGTTTGGAATAATTAATGACTATTAAGATTTTGATTTTTTTTTCATTGTAATCAAATAATTTTATAAGAGAGTTTTCTTTTTTCACAGGAAAAACTCTGCATTTTTATGCTTACTCCATTTTCATTTAATTTTATTAAATGAGACTTTTAAAAAAAAATAGTAATTTTTAACTAAAATTTGAATTATAGCTCTGTTAAATTCTTTATATGAGGGTTTTTCAAAATAAAATATGTAAATAAATAATTTGTAATTAGAAATATTATTATTATTCTGTTAAATTCCAAAGCCCAGACAGCTTAACGCATTTAACATTATCATTAAAAACGTACTAATTTTTATTCAAATTCGCCACTTCATTACTTTGCTAATAAAAACTAACTTAATTTCAAATATCAGGCTTTTTGTGAACATTTTGCAACACTGGCGCAACAGTAGTGTTGGCACTGGCAAAGAAAAATTAAAAATATGTTTTCAAAACTTTCTTTCCATAATTAAATGCTTAACAGTTGGCAGCTCCTAATTGAACTGCTCGCGACGTGGAGCTGGACAAGGCCTGATTGGGTGGCTGGGAGCTGGTTTGTTATCGATGGCTTTTCGCGAAACGTGAACGTGCGCGGAGCTCATTAAAGACGGCTAATACCCTGTTTGAAAGAGAACAATTTTGTATATATGTAGTTGGCGAACTCATGACACATAAAAGCCCGCGACAGATTAAGTTTACTTTTTTCTTTTATTTTTTCAATATTCACATAACAGCATGCTCATTTTTCTTGCTAATAAAGCAAGACTCACTTCTGATGATAATCTGATAAAGATTGAAATTTTATGCTCGTTACTTTGATCTCTCCCCATTAAACCTTTAACAGAGCATCTGGGCATTGAGTGCCAGCAACTGCAGCGCGATTTGTTCCCTTTTTTAATTAACTTAATGAGCAATTAAGCGATATTTAGAGAACCCGGGAAGCCAAAGCAAATCCATTGACAATGGCCACTGCCACTACGAAACGTGACAAGCTGAATCGCTGGCAGGACTTTTATATTGTTGGTGTGGGAGCCAAACAAAAGAAAAAGGCGTAGAAACTTAAAAACTAGCCTCAAAGGAGTTATCAGATTACAAGAAACGTAAAGTGCTCAGAACTATTCAGAGAACCCTACGAAATTGAAACCAACTTCAGCAAAATGTATATTTTTTACTTCCTTAAAACTTAAAATAAAGAAATTAAATCTAAAAAATAAAAAAAAAAAATGTTACGGCCTTACTTCACTTAAATAACTGGTTCGTGTCCATACTAAAGCAGCATTATGTTAGTTAGCAGCATGCTGCATGTAAACACTTAACATTTGCTTTCTTTTCGTCAGGTTTCGTTAAATGTGGAACGTATTTTCCGCTAGTTCAGTTTACAACCATTGAGTCAGCCATAAAAAGTTATGCCTTTCTAAATGCTGCCATAAAAATGTTGTCCCAAAAAGCTCAGCCGGAAAAGGCATAAAATAGGTTCTAGGCTTGGCTTAAGCCAAGTTACAACCACCAGTACAAAAAGTCTGCATAGCTTTAAGCTGTGCGAATCCACAGCTGTATGTGCTTTAGTTTATTGACCCCATTGGCAGAAGCTTTTGGCGTGCCTTAACCCCAAATCATTTCCAATAGATGGAATCAAAAGTGTTCCAATTCCTTTGACACAGTTTTCTGTCCACTTGACGACTTTGCAAGTCACAACTGGAACGCAAATGCTTGGCTAGATAACACCCTGTATTTTAAATAAATTAAACCACAACTTCTTTCAACCTTGAAGTCCATATATATTATTAAAAAAAAATAAGCAAGTCCACTCTTGTCATATATATATATTTTAATTTATATAACTGCATACATACACAAATTCAAAAGTGAATATGAACTCACCTAAAGAATCACATGAAGACGTAGACTTATTTAATTGCCGGTAGGAGGGACGCCGAAATACAAATATAATTAACCCTGAAATAATTAAAGGAGGAATAAGCAAAATAATAGAATAATTATAATAGGAGTGGAAAAGCTACCTTGTTTTTATTTACAGCGAAGAATATTTCTTCTTCGTTTGATAAAAAAGAGCATAGATGCAAATACATACATACGTATGATTGTATATATATATGTGTATATATACATGCATACATATAGTATATATATACATATGTACATATACACATATATACATACATACATATAAACATATAAACATATAAACATATAAACATATAAACATATAAACATATAAACATATAAACATATAAACATATAAACATATAAACATATAAACATATAAACATATAAACATATAAACATATAAACATATAAACATATAAACATATAAACATATAAACATATAAACATATAAACATATAAACATATAAACATATAAAAATATAAATATATAAATATAAAAATAAAACATATAAACATATAAACATATAAACATATAAACATATAAACATAAAACATATAAACATATAAACATATAAACATATAAACATATAAACATAAACATATAAACATATAAACATATAAACATATAAACATATAAACATATAACATATAACATATAAACATATAAACATATAACATATAAACATATAAACATATAAACATATAAACATATAAACATATAAACATATAAACATATAAACATATACATATAAACATATATACATATATACATACACAAATATATATATATATATATATATATATATATATATATATATATATATGCACACACACATGCACATACACATATTTATATATGCGCACATACCAATTTGCCAACACACACACACGCCCACTCAAATAAGGTTTTTAAGATTGCCAACACACTTTTTAATGTAACACTTCACTTACTAGCAGAGCATGAAGACCTTCACTTGAATTAATGAGAATCGCAGAGAAGGGCAACATTAAATAAATAAGTTATTTTCAAATTTGCAGCGCAAATGAATGCAAGCGTGTTATGCACATCTGTCTATACATACATGCAGTCAATCAAATACACATATATGTATACATACAAACATACATATCTCTACATATAAAACTATTTGTCCTGACTGAATAACTGACTGAGCGACTGACTGATTCATTGACTGACTGAGTGAGTGATTAATTGCCTGATGGCCAGTCTGATTGACTGGCTAACTGACTGACAGGTGAACTAACTGACTGACGAACTGACTGAATGAGTGACTGACTGATTAACTGACAAACTGACAAGCCGATTGAGTGACTTATTGATTGATTGACTGACTGACTGATGCAGTGACTGACTAACGAACTGATTGATGGACTGTCAGATTGACTGGCTAACTGACTGACAGGTGAACTGACTGACTAACTGATTGAGTGACTGACTGATTGACTGACTAGCTGACTGACTGACTGATTGGTGATCAACACACAGCCCAAACTCTATGAACTAAAAAGCAGTAACCTTTTATATTGGAGGAAATTCTACCTATGAGGAAATTCTACCAGCAATTATGGAAAGATCGTTTAATTTTGTTGTTTATCATTAGATTAGATTCAAAATCATTTTCAAATATCTGTAGGAATTTTGACATTCTATCCGCCCTCTTCGATAATAGATGCGTGTAAAAGTTTGGATGTTTTGAATTTACGCTAGTTCGCAAAGATCTTTAAAAAACAAATCTATTTCATAAATGTCTCACGGCAAAAGGTTGTCAAAGGTTTTAATTGCAAAAATTTAAGTTTCTCCCGATCTGGCCAAAATATACTTTCAAAGCTCCGCATAAAAACTAGTTTCTACGTTATCCAGCAGTTTTGGATATTTCATTTATTTGCAACTTTGGAAATTTGATGAAATATTGACAATTTTTTTCCGCGTTTTACACTTTTCACGAAGTCCACCCTTTTTGGATAAAAAATGCAATTCAAACTTTGAATGAACCAAAATATATTTTAAAGCTTCAAGGTTTCAAAATTTTCAAAGCAAAGAACTTGGACCCGGAAACACCAGCTAGCTTTATATATAATTCACAGATTGAAAAATCAGATAGAGTATTTGATTGATTGATTGTCTGCTCGGCGGGAATACGAGTTAAGGGCCTTCATTTAAAAAAACGGGCGTTTGTTAATAGATAAAAAGACGAATATATTAAATATGCGTTGGCCAATATAATAATTACTTAAGTGAATAATTTCGAATAGCTTAACATAATAAAAACGAGTAGCTTCATTTACACCATGAATCAAAAGGGCCTTCAACGAATATTCAAATAGATACATAGGTATATCTGTTTTTTTTTCCAATTTTGAATATGTTTGCATACATTAAAGGGAAAAGCTTGCATGACTAGACGAACATTTTCATAGCTTAATTGTGTGACTAAAGGTTTAAATAATGTTGAGTGCATTACGAGTGTATTCGTTAAAGCAAATGTCAAATTTCAATGAAAGAGGCCAAAGATTCAAACAGCGAGAAAGTTGCAAAATGTTTTCACGAGCAACAATAAAAACCGAATTATTTATTAGCTGAAAGAGCAACAAATGCAACAACAACAAAAGCGACACACACAACATTGCATTTAGGCGTGTTTGTTAATTAGGCAGATGCACACATATGTTTATACATAAATAATTCGAAATCTAAATCGGCTTTTGGCCTTTTTTTTGACCATGTTTTTCGTATTTGCATTTATTTCTTTCACTTTGGCCCTTTTGTTAAATGCGCTTTGACTTTAAATGCCCGACGGAAATTTGCATAATTAAATTGTTTAATGTGGTTTGCCAATTTAGCACATTAAAGATTCAAATGGGAATTAACCAATCAACCAACGCAGCCCAGCTGTCACATACCCTATAATCAGCTTGTCTGCTTTGCTGCCGCTAAGCAGCTTAGTTTCGTTTTATTTCTCGCGCTCTCAATTCATCTTTTCCGGTGCTGCCAGATGTTGTTTCAATTGCAACGCGTGGCAGCACTGCAATTCTTTTTAATTGCCAGACACTTAAGAGGCAGATAAAGTGCCTGGTAAACTATAAGCTAGTTTTTGTGCAAATGAATGTCACTGGCAGAGAGAAGCATCTCCTAACCCATAAACTATATATATTCCTGATTAGCATCATTAACCGATTCGTTCTAGCTATACGAGCTAGAGACTTGTACATAGGTTGTCCTAATAAAAAATAATAAAAAACATATCAATCATCTTTCATTTTATAGCTTACCCTTAACTCCCCAAGCTCGAGCAGCAATTGGTGTTGGTAGAAGAAGGTTTAGGGTATCTCCTAGTCGGGCATACCCGTCTAGAGCGTCTTGTTGAATATATAATCTACCAAAAACCAACTCTTCCCCTGCTATCAAATGTGTCCCCATAGTAAACATAATATCTTTCTACCCATGCAAAGGGTATCTGCTAGTGTCATACCATCAGGTAGATCATTTTTACAAGCTGTAAGTTGTGCGAATATTAAACTGGTTCACCGCTGGCTCAACATATCTATACATATATATTTTTTGCACAGCTCTTGGCAATGACTGGGCAGATCATCTGATCCGCAGCCACTTGTCGTTGCTGGCACTGAAGACAGAAGTTAATGGCTTTGGATATGGTTGACTGCCGGCGACCACAATACAATGACTGTTGATCTGAGCTTGTGGCATGGTGTCGCATACGGGCTTATCGGCTGGCGAAGCAAGCGGGCGCGCGGCGTGATAAATTGCGGCGCTGATTGGAGGCAAATTAAGAGCCGTGGGATTAAGTGCGACAAATATTACGACATTAGACGACTTCGGGGCACGCTGGGCTGTCTGACAGCTGGACTTTCGAACATGAATATGCATTCCAGCCACGTCGTAATGCGCGCAACTCACATTTGGTTATCGCATATGTTTAAATGTGGAAATTTCAAACATTTTCAAATTTAATCTGAATCGCATTGTAACTATTTTTTGACCTTCCGGCGATTTAAATATTTCTTTGTGTTTGTTTTTACTCTGCCATTTCTTTCATTTTATAAATATTTAAATTCTGTTTCATCACATAGTCTCATATATTTTAAGTTAATTCGTATATAAATAATATTTATATTATGCCTGAATTTCTGTTGCCCGAAAGTTTTCAAAATGTCACAAAAGAAATAAAACGAAAAAATGTTAAGTCATGTGAAAGTATGCTAGAAAACAATATGTATAAAAGAAACTATGTCATTTGCAAAATAAATATGTGAGTCAAGTGCTCGACTTACTGATACCCCGTAAGCGGCAGATAAATTATAAACATTTTATATTTATATAAACATTTAAATATATATTTATTTATATGTAAATATTAATACATTTATATAGGTATATTTTATTTTTATGAAACAATTTTAGATAAATATACCTTCTTTGAAATAAACAAATTTTAATTATTTATATTTTTTTCTATATATATTTTTTTTTCACGAACGATTTTAAGGAGTTTGGATATTTTATATTATATTCAGTATAAACGTCTGCGGTTAAAATAATACATAATCCATATATAAGCCTGCGATTTAAGCCCACCTAAATCTTGTCTACCGAGAGAACAGTTGCATAGATATCGTTAACTAATAATTATTATTTTCATACCCTGAACCCATTGAAAATGGGTTAAAATGCTATTATGAAATTGTGCAAATGTATATAACAGGCAGATAAAAGCATCTCCGGCCCCATAATGTATATATATTCTTGATCAGCATCAATAGCCGAGTCGATCTAACTATGTCCGTCTGTCTGTCCGTCCTAAAGTTTGTTTCGGATAATCGATTACTTACTCCGTTTACAAGCAAAGTAAATAATAAGAACTAGACTCACCAAACATGATATGTTGCTTTTAGAATATTATATATATATCAAGAATCCTTCATTTTATACCTCTCGTCACCTCCCCGCTACCACCGCAAGGCTATAAATCAAGTTAGTAACTCAACTTACATTGTCCACAAATTTAAGCCACAATTTTAATGCAATTGACTTTTTAAAAATACACAAAAATTGTATGGTACAAAACGATATACTGTAGAAAATTTCATTGACATCGGTTAAGAAAAACCCAAAATCGAATTCTATCAACAGCATTACAATTGCGATTGTTTTCTGTTATTTTAATTCATTTTATTCTCAATAGTACTCAATTTTTGGTGTGGCTTTTGAGTAGAGTCGCCAGCGAGTAATGCGGTCAGTTGAGAGTTCGTACCCTGCCAAAGAAACTTTTTTTAAAATTTATCTTTATTACTTAAAACGAGCGCATAGCGCGAACTGCATTTGGTATTGGAATAAGAGGGTTCAGAGTATTTCTTATCGGGGGCTCCCGACTAGAACCTCTTACTTGTTTTTATCTGAAGACACAAAAATTTACGTTTTATACGTTTAAATTTGAATTTCAAGTATATTTAAAATGAAGGCAACAAATGAATTTGATATTTTGAACATAGCATAAATATATATATATTTGAGATCTATGTGTCATCTAGAATCGCACGTGCTATTATATTTGTACATAAGTGCCTTAATTAAGATATTTTTCTATGAATATTTAAAGAAACGAGAAGCAATTTTGTATAGATGACATACAGACATTTTTTTACAAATTTTATTAATTCGTAAAATATCACACAGTAATCTTTAAAGATGTTCGGCATATCCGGAACTTCTCAAGATTTGTTTTTTTTTTTTTCAAACTTATTTTTCTGTAACAACAAACAATTCAGTTGTTTGTTATCTACGCAATGTGACTGCTCTGTTGTTTAATTTCAACAATTAAATGCATATTGAAAAGAAAACTAAAGCAAAAATAAAGCATGTGCAAATCCGTATATTATATAACGCTTTAAATTAAAACACAAATTTCTCAATTCCGTACAACAAGAGCTACGAAACATCCAAAATAATATTTATAGCCAGTGGGCATCTATATAGTCTGATGGCTCGGCGAATTTTGATTAACAATATTTTACCATTACATATATTTGTAAGAGACCGTTTTATTAACCAAGCCAAAATAAAAAGCCCAAAACGAAGTAATCAGAGTTCTTTAGGTTGTTAACTCTCTTATTAACAATATTGGTTTTATTTAAAAAAAAAAAAAAAACAATTCTTTGGGTTGGTTTTGAACCAAATATTTTGACAAAATGCTGAACCAAAAATAACATTTCTCTGTTGACGAGCATTGAAATTGGGTTGGAATAAACCTGGCTGTGAATTCTGTACATTCTTGGAAAGATAAATAACACTTTTCAAAGAGTTTAAATTTGATGTTGGGGTTGTGACGCGGCTTCAGATTAAATGCTGCCTGTTGAATCCATATATGAACATTATTATTAAGTAGTCAACAAATTGAACAATATTTAATCATATATATATGACGATATATACAAATTTTCAACCCTTTGTTCTTAACATGCATATATGCACCATCTGATAGCTAGCCATAAATAAATAAATTGGGATTTCACTAAGAGGGAGGTGTGTCATCGCCCGAGCAAAGCTCGAATGTGGAATATGCGCATATATAAACATACTTACATATATGCCAGCAGTTGCTAGTATATGATATATATGTGTGTGTGCGTGTGTGTATGCAGATTATAAATGTTACAAATTTCGATAGCAAGTGGCTAGGATTATAATTTCTGACCTATACGCATTAATGCAGACATTAATAATTTATAGCTCGGCTTTTTGAGATCGTGAACTTGTTTTTGGGTTCACTGCAGCGCCGCTGACGTTGGCGTTGGCGTTGTTGTTTACGTTAACGTGTTTTTGTTGTTGTGGCTGCTTGGCATCATTTCTCTTTGGATAGCGCTTTTCTTGGCTGCTTGGGTCTGGATGGCGTATAAATAGCGGCCAGCGAGCATAGCATCAATATTAGTAACTGATTAAGCTTCCAGGCTTAACTTCGTCTAACAAGAGCTAAAGCTAAACCCAAGCAGAACCGACAACAAAATGAAGGTAAGATTTGGACAAAAATAAACCGAAACGGAGCCTCTTAACCATGAAGGAACTTTGACATTTGTCCAGGTGTTTGTTTGCCTGATTGTCTGCGTAAGCCTCGCCCAGGCTGGCTTCATCGGTGGTGGATACTCCGGCGGTGGCTACTCTGGCGGTGGCTACTCCGGCGGTGGCGGTGGCCACTCTGGCGGTGCACCCACCATTGTCAAGGTGATCCACGAGGAAGGTCATGGACATGGCGGCGGCGGCGGCGGCTTCGATCATGGACATGGACACGGCGGCGGCGGTGAGGTCAAGATTGTCAAAGTGATTCATGAGGAGGCACATGGACATGGTCACGGTGGCTTCGATCATGGACACGGACACGGCGGACATGGCGCCGAAGTCAAGGTCATTAAGGTCATCCAAGATGCTGGTTTCAGTCACGGTCACGATCACGGTCACGATCACGGACACGGTCACAGTCACGGCGGCGATGTGAAAATTGTCAAAGTAATTCACGAGGAAGGCGGCGCCATTGACCACGGCCATGGTGGACACTTTGCCGCTGACCATGGCCACCACGTCGAGGACGTGAAAGTCGTCAGCGTCATCAGCGAAGGCGGCTACGGCGGCGGCGCTGGCGGCGCTGGCTGGTCTGCCGGCGGTGGCGGCGGCGCTGGCTGGTCTGCCGGCGGTGGCAGCGGCTGGGACTAAGCGGACCAATGCCCAACAATGGCTCAACACAGACTCCCATCTTCCCATACACCGCCATGTGATATGCCAGGCACTCGACTCATTTGTTTCTGTTGTCCGAGTTGAGCAACGGCATTAGCCTTGTAGATGTTGTTACTATATCTTTAAGACATCTTTTTTTTTTCGTGTTAAATAGTTTATAAATTGTACAAAACGTGTTCAACTATGTTGGAAACCAAAAATAAAAAATATTAAAAAAAAATTTTGTTTAACAAAATCATTTTCTTTGCGTGCTGCCCAGCGGGTGTCCCCGGGCCATAGGTACATATATACCAAAAAGTTCAGGGTCTTGTGCCCAATTTTCAATGCAGCTCTCCTAATTATGGTCATAGGAATAATTGTGCATGGCAATACTGTGATCTATCATTAGTCAAGCATCAATTCAATCATTAGCTTCTCATGTTGTGTGGAAAGATCAAAACAATGCTACGATCAATATGTGCGCGAAGAAATTTCTTAATCCAAATTAAACAGACATATATCTAGCTGTACAAATGATAATGATATACAAAACAATGATGTAGGTCGGGTGCTTAAATAAGACCCATTACAAGTTTGCCATGCAGTGAAAGGCGTCGTCGCATAACCCACAAATGGACCAAGATAATTTATGTATAGCCACAACTATCATAGACCGAGACAATTGTTGTTTCTGTCGTTGCCCTTTCTTTCATTAGTTTTATGGATATTAAGTAACTTTAATTGGCTTTTTTCGCATTTGTAAGATTTTATATGTACCACTCTTAAATTAATGTCAGTGTTGATTACAGCTATATCAATTTATTCAAAAACATGGACAAAAAACTCAAGAGTGCCATAGTCGAAGGTAACCGACGAGCAGCTACCCTCAATGCGTTTTTATATACTTTAAATCAGCCTAGGAGTGTGGTATTCAGTAGAGGCAGAGAGCCATTTAAACGGTGTGATTGAAAGAGAAGAGAATAAGAGAGAGAGTGTGACAGCTTATCAGAGACTGAGAATTAATTACATTGAACTCTAAAACAACCTAGGAGTTAGCCTTAATTGAATATATGAGAAATGCAAAGAAAGGCCACAAAAAAAAACTTAAGCGATACAAATATTAAATAAGAACAACCTAAAGGCCAGTCGGGCTTAATTGAATAAATAAGAATCGCAAAGAAAGGCAAAACAACATGATATTTATATACGGTTAAGAAGTCTATGTGGGGGACAGTCAGCGTTAATTGGGCTTATGAGAATCGCAAAGAAAGGCAAAAACAACATGAACAACATAAATACGCAGAAGGGTAAGAACAACCTGAGAGTCGGATAGCCCACAATGAGTATATAAGAATCGTTTAGAAATGCGCAAGTAACATAATCTTCATATGCCAATAGTTTAAGAAAGCATAAGTTTTACAAATAATAAGTACACAGAATCCAAAGAACTATCTGAGAGTAAGTTGGCGTTAATTAAATTTATGAGAATCTCAGAGAAAGGCGAAAACAATGGGTTCTTTATGTGCGCATAGTTTAAGTGAACCTACAAGCTACAGTTGATGTCTCTAGCTGCTCAAGTCGCCGAGTTCGAAGTGCTCATGCAAACAGCAAATGAAAGCTATCTTCGGATTGGTCCATGGTCGGATTAATATATAAATTTATGTTATGCATATGATAGCCTGCTAGCCTTATATAGTGGGTATACAATTCCGATCATTAATTAAAAACATATTTGTCACTATCTTTAAGAGATGATTTGCCAGAAAACAAACTTGAGCTACGTCATAAGAGGATTATTTCCTCACGCTTCAGTGATTGACATATCGTTTAGTTATACTGCGTATAGGTAATAGTGACCAAGTTAGGTAAGATTAGTTTTAATTTGAGGGAGTTACCCTTGCAAGCCTCTGAGCTTGCTGGTCTGGTTTACAGAAAGGTTAATGAGCCCTTCTTCAAAACATTTACGTATCTATTTATAATTATTATTTATTTTGTATAATTTCTTTAACCACATCCGGTCGACTGTAAAAATAGATACGTATGACCTTAATATTTAATTCTCTCGTTTTATCAGTTCCAATTATTAAAATTATGAAATTATTAAAAGTATGAGGTAAATGTGCTCATCATCAAATGGCTTAAAAATTATGATTATAATCTATTTTAATCGTCGTATCTAATCTTTAAATTGCATAATTTTTCTATAATTATAACCAATGTAAAAATATAAAAAAAAAAAATAACAAACTTTATGCATGTACATATGTCTATATAAATGTCGGAAATATGCAACATGATGTAAATTAGAAACCTGTTTTTGTTGCTTGGGCACAAAACTTAAGACAAAAGGTCCGAACCAACAGGCCAGATGAACCCTCATCAAAATGTTAGCGGCCAGCAGCCCTGAATTAAAATTATACTTACTCGTAAACTAAACAAATGTTCAACAATAAATTTCATAAGCTTGGAAATGTTCAAAATTCATGGATTTCATTTATTTTTGTTTACAATATGATAGCTACCCAACCGCCCAACTCTTCTATCAGAGGCAAGAGCCGTTGCTCTGCAACTAAAGACGAATAAGATGTCGTGACCGCGTGGGATTTGTGGGCTTCCGCGAACTACAAAACGCTGTTGAAGCAATTAACGTAGCGCAACACAGGAAAATTATTTGCCATCTATCAAGTGTCTAACCGAAGGTTCCACTGCGAAGCAGTTAAATTTTGTGGGGGCCAGCAATTAATAAGCGTTTCGATTGACCCCATCAACTAGTTTTCGGCGCACTTTTTGAAATTGAAACAAAGATAACAGCCAGCCTGGCGATGTCGAAAATTCTATACGCTTCACATAAAGTGTACATTAATCTGTTAGATTTAAACAGAAATATGTTACATTGACCTAAAATATATGTCTATGCATACTTTCTAAGCAAACGATCCCTAGATAATATATAGACTATCGATCCAGATGTTTGCCTCTAACTATAGAATATATACATATGTGGAGTTCCTAAAACTGTTCCCAGCTGCTTCATACAAAATTAAGGTCACACTAAAGGGTTTAACGAAAATTTGATTAAGATTTGATTTGGTTTTGCTTGCGTGTGTGACCATACTTCTCACAAATTAAATGACATGGTCACATTTTTTGTTTGTTTGCCTTCTTTTGTTATAATCATTATGAATTAAGAATTAATTTATTATTATATTATTTTTAATTATTTTTTACTTAAAACTTGTTCATTTTTGTAAGACAATCAATATCAAATTTCATTTTTATCGAAACGGAAAAATATATAAAAAATAAAAAAAATATTTCAAATATTGAAATACAAATAACAAAAATTTATAAAAGAAATAAAAAAAAGTAAAAAATTAATAAAAACTATGTATATTCATTTATAATTTAAAATATTATATAAATGTATGGATATTAAATGAATATGAATTTAAACATCGCGTCATTAGAAAGTCAACATACCCTATTTTTAGGGCACATTATGAAGGTGGTGTTTGATTTGAAGTTGGATTTGGAGTTGGAGTGTTAAAACGCGCTACTTATTCGCTTTTGTTATGTTTGGTTAATGCTTTTTGTGCAAGTTTTTGATGAATTGCATAACGAGCTAATAAAGAGCACCAGCAAAAGTCCCCCCCCCCCTCCCACCACTCCCCCTCGAAACTGAGCTGGTCCATTCCACACTCCCAGCTGCCGCTGTGAAGGCGTTAGCTGAAGACGAAGATGGCCAAGATGTTGGCAAGAGACAGCTTTTGGCGTCTGCATGGGCTGGCTGTTTGATGATGGCATAATCCGGCCAGAGCATCGCGTGGACAAGCAATTAGAGTGTCATACATTAGCATACAGCTGTGGTCAGCTGGCTCCGGGCAGGGTCGAGCTGGTTTTGTGTTGTGATTTTGGCTCTTAGCCTCCGCTGACTGTGGCAAATAAAAGCAACGGCCGTTGTACTGCTACGGCACAGTTGAAGTTCAGCTTTCGTCGTAGTCGCACTTGCAAATCCTAACTCCTAACTCCCAGCTCCACACGTACACATAGCCAACATGAAGGTGCGTCTTGGCTGGCGGCTTAGCTCGAAATCTCGTAGCCGGGATTAGCGAATTTTGAGCATTTTTTTTTACATTTTTGTTTTGTTTTTGTTTTGTGCTGTGTTGTGATATTCATTGTTTTCATTTTTCATGCTGTGCCTGTTTCTCTTCGAAGGTGTTCGTTTGTCTGCTCGCTGTGTGCAGCATGGCCCATGCGGGCTTCCTTGGCGGCGGCAGCGCTCTTAGCTCCGGCGGCGGCGGCGGCGGTGGCTACGGTGGCGGCTATGGAGGCGGTCATGGTGGTGGCTACGGTGGCGGCCATGGCGGCGGCTATGGTGGCGGCCATGGTGGCGGCTACGGTGGCGGTCATGGCGGCGGCGGCGGCGGCGGAGTTAAAATCATTAAGGTTATCTCCGATGGCGGTGCTGGCGGCGGCTACGGAGGTGGCGGTTATGGCGGTGGCTACGGCGGTGGTTACGGCGGCGGCCACGGCGGCGGCTACGGCGGCGGTCACGGCGGTGGTTACGGCGGCGGCAGCACTGTTAAAATCGTCAAGGTCATCTCCGATGCAGGTGCAGGCGGCGGCTATGGTGGCGGTCATGGTGGCGGCTATGGTGGCGGCTATGGTGGCGGTCATGGTGGCGGCTATGGCAGCTCCGGCGCTGTACAAATCGTCAAGGTCATCTCTGATGCAGGCAGCATCGGTGGCGGCGGCGGCGGCGGCGGCGGCGGTGGCTGGGCACCACAGGGTGGCGGCGGCGGTGGCTGGGCACCTCAGGGCGGCTGGGCCTCAAGCGGCTGGTAAAAAGCAGTCCACACTCGGCCGAGCGCGCGCACCAGATATACCTTGTGACTAGGTTGTGACACATGTGTGGCCAGGCACAGAGGAGTTTAGGCACGAAACTGGAGCAACCCTTTCACATATTTGTTTTATTTTTTTTTTTAATTTGTTGTCGCTACGTTGAACACTCGAATTGTAAATACTCATTACATTAACAATAATAAAGCCTAAAACAAATACATTTTGTTTGATTCCGGGCATTAATTATGCGAAGATTGCGAAGTCATTTCCTGTGACGACAATCTCTGCGGGATCGGCGACCGAATTTGTTTTCACCGTACAACATGGCTCGCCTTTTGATGGAAAACTGAGATACATTGTGAAACAACACATGTTAACTGGGCCAAGAAAGCACACGTAACTTTTTCATATGGCGAAAAGTAAATACCCTGGCATATTAATAAAATATGCATAGCTCGGGACGTTCATAGACTTCAAATGCATTGGCTTAGGTTCTCATACATAATATATAAATATTAAAAAACTATACAAAAAATATGATAATATAGATACAAGTGAGACAGTAAATAATAATACGAGTCAGATCAGAGATTAAGTTAATTAAACTGGCAAGACAACATTTGAAATTGTAACACTCAAAGCCAAAGCTTGCCAGCCTTTAAGTCATACATGAGAATCGCATAGAGGGGTGAAATAAAAAAAAAAAAAACCAAAATCGTTTCCCTTTTGGAAATCCTGCCAACGTTTGTGTATAGCTGGTTGAAAGAGAATTTATTCGATTTAACACATGAAATGAAAAACGAACTGGAACTGACCTATCTGGCTAATGAAAATGCAATCTGTGTTCAATTTTTGGGCCCGGCCCGGCCCGACCCGGCCTTTCAATATGATGAACAAATATGTGCCTTTGCTATTGGCAGCCACCGGTTGCAGGTGCTGCATTTCAGCATTTCAATTAACGTCTCGTTTCGATTGCCCCCTTGTCCACCTGCCTCCCGATCCACTTGGCGTTTCATGCAAAAGCTTTATGGCGCTCACTGTCAACGCTGAGGCGAAAAAGCTTCAACACCCAAAGCTGAATCATGGACTGTTTGGCCTGCGTGCCCAGAAAAGTTCGGCCATGGTAGCGAAACGGAAGTTGAGCTCGAGCCAAAGGCTGGCCCCTGGCGTCGATACATAAGATTGTTGGCACATGTCAAAGTCAGAAAGTAAAAGTGCACCTGCAATTCAATTAAACTTGTTAAACGTACCCCAACTTTAAGCGTAGGTGTCGCAAAAACTTTGCAGCTTTTAGTATACCCAAATATATATTATTATAATTAATAAATATATTATTATGTATATGTGTGCATTAGTTAGGGGTAAGCATAGCAGGGCATTTGCTAGTCAAACACTTTCAGCTAGAGCATGGAAAATACATATAAAAACATGGTTTATTCTTAGGGTGAATCCGTGAAAAGCTAAGCAAACTTCAAACAATTTAGGAACAACTTTCTTTAGAATCTTAAATGTTGCAAGAAATAAGTTGGCCAAAATGTGTTCGCAATCATAGTCAGTAGAACAATGAAAATATATTTTTAATCTGCAACGCAGCGTGCTAAGCTTAATGAAGACATTCCTTATATACATACATTAATACATACACATACATATACATACGTATATGCATTCATGCATACATGCACACATATATGCGGACATGCATGCATACATACATGTATGCATATATTCATGCATGCATACACACATATATACATACATATATATACAAACATAGGTACATGCATACACACATAAATGCATACATATATGCATACATACATGCATGGATACATACATACATGCTCACATATATACGTACCTATATACATACATACATACGTGCTTGCATACATACTTGCATGCATTTATAGATCTTGACATACACAGGCATGCATACATACACATTAAACATACATACATATATGCAAGTTAACACATACATACACATTTTACTTAACACATTTGTACATTCATGCATACATGGATGCATGGATACATGTTAATAGAACACTTATGAGCAGAACATGATGATCTGTAAAGCTTACTTGAAATCATGAGAATCGCAAAGGAGGGTGTAACGTAAAAATACGTTTTATTTAAATTTGCAGAGCGGCGGAAGTTGACTTTGTCTGCGTTTGCAATAAGAGAACATGCTTATAAGTATATGAGCATATATGCATGCATGCATACAAACATATGAACATACATAAGTACATGCATATTCATTTGAACATATCTATACATAAAAGTGTCTTAAAATAAAAGATTGGTTAGCTGAATTAATTGTAATGCATTTCTCAAGAAGCTTAAACGCTTATTTTTGAGCAAGATTTTTAATATTTTTGATTAGGTTGACTATGAAATAGCAGATCTATCAGGTTAATATATGGCTAGTGTTTCAGATCCAATTCCATAGAATCAATCGGAGTGCACTCTCAATCGATTCCAGAAACAAATTAAAGACATCGGAATTATCGTGAAAATCTGTTCGGGGCGAGCCGCGGCTAGTGGGAGACTGCAACAGAGAGTCGTAAGAGTTACATTCAATTTCGCGCCCGACAGAAAATTATTATATGTTGTTATGCCAATTAGCCAGACTTGACCTGAAAGCGGCTAACCCAAATGACATTTCCGTAAAACGCCGGATGTTCGCGAGCGCAACGTGTGCGGCAAATGCGAAACTCATTATGACGGACTGCGGCATATCTGCGGCGGATGGTGGGCAAAGGGCGGTGGGCGGAGGGCGGAGGGCGGAGGGGTGCTGGCTGTGCGGGCAAGGTGTGCACAACAGCTGCGGGCAAATTTATTACGCATACGCACACACATATTCAGAGAGGCGTGCGTGTAGTAAATAGAACAATCAGCGGGTGTTTTGCGCCTGGTTTTAATTTTGTTCAGTCTTGATTTGTATAGAGGCATAAACAACAGATGTCTCGATGGACCTAGATATGGAATGCATGAATGCCATTGTCATTGTCATTGTCATTGTCATTGTCATTGTCATTGTCAGTCGGAGGCAGCATCAGGCGCGGGCTTTTGACTATAAATACCGCTCGGCCGGCGGTGCACGCATAGAAAGTGCTGCACTTTTAATCAAATCGCCCATGACGCGCCACACCCACCCGCCGCATAGGCCGTACTGTGGGCCCAGGCTGATGCTTATGCTCGTATACAGCGGCTGCTTTGGCCAATTGGCCGTGGCGCAGAATTACTGTGATCCGGCGCTTTGTCCGGCCGGATTGCGTCATGTCGTGTGCGGCAATAGCGGTGTAAGTAGTGGGCGTGGCCAGTGTCTGTCTGGTCTCTGTGTGTGTGCGTGTGTATTAACCGTTAGCAAGCTCAGCAATTCGCCAGCGGCTGTCGCGGCGAATTCGTTCCAATCGATGCACACATACCCCTCATACTGAAGGAGCACAACGATCGCCGCAATCTGCTGGCCGGCGGCGGCCTGAGCGGCTTTCCCAGCGCCCTGCATATGGCCACAATGGCGTGGGACTCCACACTGGCCCAGGTGGCGGCCTACAATACGCTGCAGTGCCGCATGGCGCACGACGAGTGCCGCAACACGAACACCTATCGCTATGCGGGCCAGAACCTGAGCGTTCTCTATACGCGCAGCATTGATGTGGCCGAGTTTCTGCGCCAGCGGATTGCCGCCTGGTTCGAGGAATATCGCTCGGCGACCAGCGCGGACACGGAAGTCCATGTGCCACGTGCCGGACCGTGCGTATGCCCCAATTGTCAGCTCCTTTCTTCTTTGCCAGCTTGTAATCTTCTGGCATTCGCAGGGCCATCGGCCACTTCACGACCATGGTAAATGAGCGCAACAATCGCATTGGCTGTGCCATTGCTCGGTACACGGACGCGAACGGTTTGGGGTCTACTCTGCTCGCTTGCAACTATGCGGTCACAAATGTGCGCAACAATCCGATCTATAGGGCCGGTCCGCCGGCCTCTGAGTGCATCAGGGGTCGCAATCCCAATTACTCCAATCTATGTGCGGAGAATGAGGAATATAACTATAACTCCTGGTCCACTTGATTTCGTTTTCTTTTCATATGCATTTTTTACTTATTTGTTGATATTTTTATTTTCAATATTTATTCTTATTTCCTTAAGAATTTTAATTAAACTTCATTTCTCCTGAAAGTGATTTCCCAGTATTAATAACCGTTAGTACTGTCCCAAAGTAGGGGTAAGCTATAGTGGGATATTCACAAATTCCCACTGTGCCCATATTATCCGATTACTTAACATGGGCTTCAGTCCAAATGGAAATATTTTATATTTGCAGGTTTTTGTCTTAGCTTAAAGTACTCAGCATTTTTTCAGTGATAAATACATAAATACCCAATGGTACTTTGTATATCGTGAGAGCATTCGCATATTATCCGCTAGTTTTTGCATTCAAGTTCCCTTTTTCTCACTCCCTTTTCCCATACAAATGCTTTAACTATTAACCCAGGCATTAACCAAAAAATTATAGTTTATAATTGCCGGTTCTTGTCTTGGCTTAAGGTACTCAACATTTTTCACTAGCAAGTTCACAAAGGTACTTTGTATATCGTAAGTGTGCGCTGCTAAGATACCATAAAATCCGTTTATCCGCTCAAAGCTGCAACTATAAGCATAAGCTTAAAATTATGGAAGAATTAAAAAATGCCGAATTGTACTGTTCATATCGTAAGGGCAATTTACCTACATGTACCATAATTTTCACCTTCAAATATTTAAGCCTTACACATAAGACATAGCTGAAGGGAGAATACCGACTGTCTTATGTCTTGGCTTAAAGTTCACAAATCTTTTTTAGAGGAGTAATGTACGAAATAGTAATTTTTTTTTACGTGTGTCTTTTTTATCCGCTTAATTTTCCATTAAATTCTGTCATTTACGTGTAATTGCATTAGATTAAAAATATGAGAAACTTCCCTAGTAGGAAATAAACAAGTGCCTTCATGAATTTGTACTATCCGCTAAATTTCCCAATCAAATACTTCAATAATCTACATAAGCGTCGGCTCAAGGGGAGCAATTCTTAGTTGGTTTATGTCCTGGCCTGAATCACAAAAAACTTATTCGGTGGGAAATTTACAAATACTTAATGGTACCTTCTTACCGTAATATGCATTTTAAACCTATTCTTTAAATTTTGTTAAGACAAAACTTAACTAAAATATTTAAGCTATGAAAATATAAAAACAACAAGCAGCAAAAAAAACACCAAATCATATAGTGATTTGATTGAGTTGAAATGAAGAAATTATTTGGTATTTGCTCGTATTGGACTTGGCTACAATATGGGTTTGTGTCCATGCTTATCGTAAGCAATGCGTTCCGTGAATTCAAATTGAGTTTTATGAGCTGAAACCAGTTACTAACTGGCTTTGCATTTCAATACAAATGCAAATATGTAAAAGGATATTTGAACATATTCATTTGACACTCGCGACACCAGGTAATATCTTATAAATAATAAGTAAATGTTTAATTCGCACTAAATAAAAATAGAATTTCAGCAACACGGAACAGTTTACTGAGCCACAGAATGAAAAAAAAAACTTTGCAACGGTATAAATAATAAATAAGCATATAACTAAAAATATCTGTATATAAATATAGGTATGTGAGCAAAAGCACGCTTACCTATCCTCCATAGTTCATTTTTATGCTCTCCCACTTTCTCTCTCTCTTCCGCTCTCTCTCTCACTTCGTTGTGGGCAAAAAAAAAAACGCGGCAGCATAAAAATGCGATGCGAAACGATTGTTAAATATGCATTGAAGATCGCTTTTTTAACGCGCAGCTAACAAAACACAACACAACACAAAATAATCGCAATAAACACCATTTATTTAACAGAAAAAAATATATAAAAAAAAGGCATTTCACAACTTTATAGGCACACGCGATCAACAGGGCAAATGCGCGCAGACTAAATTCGCTCAGCCGGCTCTGGCACTAATGTAATAATTGAGAGCACACAACTACATATTAAGGCATGGGCACTGCACATCGGCCGCAATGGCTCTCTCCAAAGATAACGGGATCGCAAGCATTTCAACCAATGGCGTGAGCCCAGTGGGCACATTCAATTCGCGCTCCCGCTCATTGCATTCATAGCATTGAGAGAGCCAGAGAGGTAATATGCTTAGAATTTCGTCTGCGTTGCGCTGTGACGTCACAGCTGCGTGTTATTGTGCGCGCGTTAAATAAAATTGAATTAATATCGATATTTTGGTTTGGAATTAATCAAATATGAAAATGAAAAATATTATAAAAATAAAAGAACTTCAACACGAATCAGAAAAGTAAAGAAATTTAATATGGAATTTTGGAATTGCAATTGGTTGCCCAATGAGCTAAGCATCGCTAGGATTGAGCTTTGACTCTTTTAATTCAACGATACGTATTATGATAGGTATATCCTCGATTTTGGTCGGATTTGTGATCGAGTGCGTAAACGGTTCCACACACTCCGTCTTGAACCGCGCCCACTTACGTGTCTTGATAAAGTCCTTGAAGAGCGTCTCGCGCGAGGGTATACAACGATCCAAATAGAAGCGCATACGATGCCAGATGTGACCCGGATTCTGATCTTCCTCCATGAGCCAGTAGAGTGGCATCAGCAGGCACTGTACTGTCGTTCGGGCCATGACAACGCGATGATCCCCCCTCTCGCCGACGCCAAACAGGCCGCCATAAGTCATCGAACCGACGTCAACAAAGTGGGTCGCATAATTGCCATCATTCTGTGCCAGGAAGTGTATAGACTAATGCATCGAACGAGTGTGTATTTACTTACGTTAGACTTCAGGGACTTCATAGATATTGAAGCACTGGCCGAGCTTGACGAGGAGGCGGTATATATTTCGGACTCCTCAGACTCCCCCTCCGCGTTGACCAGCTCTCTCAGTCTGCTCTGTTTGCTCTGTTTGCTCTGTTTGCTCTGTTTGCTCAGTCGACTTGATCGCCTGGCGAATTCCCGGCTCAGTGATTGATTGGCATTATTGATATCGTCGTCATATGAGGAAAAATGGCTTTCGTCGTATTCCTCAACGTCAATATAATCGCCAAACAAACGCTCCTCGACAACTGTTTTGAAACGATGCGGCTGGCGAGTGGGCAAATCTGGCAACTTGTCGACGGGTCTCTGTTTTTGGTTCAAGATCTTGCAGTATGCCTCAATTTTTGCGAACTCCGCCTTGCGTTTCTGCATGCAAAAGGCGCCGCAATTAGTTGGGTTATCAAATTGGAATTCATACTTTATACCGCCTTCTTTTTGTTGGCTTCGTCGAGCGATGAGTTCGAGCGCAACAGTTCCCTAACATCGAATGGCTCCGGCTTGTCGTCCTCGGGATCATTGACCGAGTCCTCCTCGATCACTTTCGATAGCTCATACTGGACTTCGCCCTTCGCATTGGACACCTAAGTGGCGGATGTACTCAACAGACTCGAATCGGGACGAATCTGCACAATGTACTTATATTCCATTAATTACATACCTTCATGTGGAGGCACTGTAATAGAACGCATTCGCCGCTTAAGACGAAGTGCACATGGAGTATGCTGTCCTTTTCCTCGGGATATATTGTGCTCAGGGGATCGTATTGCCTTAAAATGCCAAATTTGCAGGCACTCACAATCTGTAGGCGAATGGCTTATACATTGTCTGTCGATTACTCTGACGTGAATCTGGTCACACTTAGTTTGATGGCCATTTGAAATACAGCCACACTCGAGACTCACCTGTGAATCACTCATGAATTTCAGATAACTGAGCGAAGCAATCGCTTTCTTCTTTTCGATCCAAACCTTTTTCACATACGGCCTCAGCAAATCATTGAAGTCAAAGTCATCCAGTACCAGAATTTCGCAATTAGCTAAAATAGAGCAGAAAAATGCCGATCAGCCTTTGTTTAAAGATACGATTATTTTTTTTTTTTTTTGGTTCAGCTACTTGTTGCCTTGTAAGTATTCATTCTCAGGCTTTCCTCCAACAGCTCTATCTCACCGATCCAGTCGCCTGGTCCAAAGAATGCCTCAGGCTTCGATTCGAACTTGCGGGTAATCTGTCAAGTGCCAGATGTAATAGAGCTACCGGTTGAATGCATATTGTTAACTGTTACCTTATTCCATATCCTTCTGGACATCTCGACCTCACCGCTGACCACAAAGTAGATACAAGTCGGCACATCGCCCTCCTTCATCAAGGTGCGACCCGAACTGACGATCATGAAGTGTAGATAGGGCACCAAACGAGCTCGGATCTTCTGCGAATGCCCATCGGCAGGTGTTTAGATGTTGGATGTAGTTATATTAATATATCGTACCGGTGGCACTTGGGTAAAGCAGCCGAGACCTGCGACAATTGTACAAAGCTTCTTTCGCTCGGCAATGGTCCGAGTGTGATGCCGGGTGGCTAGCAAGCCCTTTTGCTGAAAGATCGGCAAGGTATCCAAAAATGGCATGTTCTATATACATATGTGTAGAGGGTCCATTCGCTTACCGCCATTGTCAAAATGCCAGTCTTGTGCTTCTTGCGCACCAGCATGGCCACATTCTTCTTCACATTCAGGGTAATGCCCTGTTCGTCCACCTCGCTGATCCATTGATGGTTCACGAAGGCGACTCGGACCAATCTCTTGAAACGCAATTTAGCCTGCTCCCTACGTAGCACATCGTCCTCCTTGTGGCGCTTGGACATGGTGGACAAACAGGTAATTGGATTATATCAAAATTTCCTGTCTTCAATTCAAATATTTTCTTTCGTTTGTTATGTTGTGTTTTTGTATTTGTATTTGTATTTGTCTTGGCTGTGACTGACTTCTATATGGAAGCATATAGATGTCTAGATGATCGAATTGATAATTTGAAAACTTTATGGGCGTCTACTTAGTTTCAACACTAGCTTCTAGGAGTTCACACAGGTGATGATAGGACAGCGACTTTCTGCTTCTTCTTCAATTAGGCACACATAATGGAAGTCGGAAGGAAATGTGCTTGACAATCGATAATTATCGATTTTGAAGAAACACAACGAGATATCGATAGCTTAAAATTAGCTAGGCAAGCAGATATATATGTAGATGCTTTATGGGATCGGGCACTATGTGTCCCAACTGTGAATTTGAATAATACGAAAATACTCTGATTGGAGTGAAAAGCAAATGGACTCAGACAAAATGCAAAGCAGCTAAATGTTATTGAGCGCAAATGAGCATCCCTTGAGCAGTTGCTCAATGCACCGCTGCGCTCAGCACAAAGCTTTGGGACACATTGGCACACTCCCCACATATGGTGGACGGCAACACCGTGGCCGTGGTGAGTAGAGAGCATCGTTGAGTGAACTGCAAACTGGAGAGTTTGAGTGTGCAGTGAACAGAGAGCTTGCACTCAATGGCAGCCGAGCTGTTCATTTGGATGCTTCGCAATGTGTCTGTAATTTTGCGAACGACAGTTCATTACTGTTTTCAAGGATAAGCGATGCCCACGTGCTGGCCCCGCACTGGCAAAAACATCAAAATTCAATTGTCGTCTTTGTCGCCTCTTGTGGTCGTCTCGCTGTCAAGTACTCAGTAAGAACTCAAACAAACTGCTGCCGGAATGCCACTTCGAGCAGCGTAAATGGGCAAGACACAGAAAATAAAAATAACAATAAAAATAAAAAGAAAAATAAAAATACAAATAAAGAGTAAAGAAAACCGTTCAAAACAAAAAAATAATTAAGCACAGAGAAACTAGTTGAAATATTCACCAAAAACCAAAACAGTTAATGAGCAAATACCGTTACGCGCGTTAAAAGTACAAGTAATTTTTTTTTTTGTAATTTTTTTTAATGTTCTTGATGTTGTTGTTGTTTTTTGTTTTTTCTTTTTGCCAAATGCAAACAAGTGCCAGTGTTGTGATGTGCCGCAAATGCCGAAAAGGATAAACACAAATATACAAGAAAAAAACAAAAAACAAACTTGCCGCAACTCGCATCTAATCGCATTAGCCGATTTTGGGAATACAAATTATTAAAAACCATTCAAACCGGGTTAGTGAAAGTTGTAACAATTAAATTGTTCAAACTCATTTAACACACACACACACACACGCACACACACACACGGACGGACGGGAGATTTATCCACTTGCTGCTGCATCCGTCTCCGTCGGCGTTTTTTTATTGCTGCATTCCCATTTTCTGCTCGACAAACATTCACAGTTTTTCTACTACTTCTTCTTATTATTTTTGTGTGTGTGTTTGTTTTTAACCGGATATTTAACCTGGCGCCGGCCCAAGGCGCCTATTGTTCCGTTATTTGTAAAACCTAATGAAAACTAAAATACAGAAAAATTGATATCTATCTAAGGACGTCGCTCACCGGAAATGTTCAATGGAACTTCGATCTGTTAGCTAAATTAATCCAGCTACAAATCTTTTAGTATTTTCTGGTATATACTAGTATTTTATGGCATACACTAGCAAATACTTTAAGACGTGTTACTTGTTTCGTGTTTCTTTGACAGACCGTTTGAATTTATTCATTGCAAGTTTTTCTCGATTGTGAAATGTTATTGAGTGCATCCCGAAAAAATAATACCAAATATTTGTGTCTGTGATATAAGAGACTTTCTCTCGCTTTAACCCTGTTTTTATTTTATTTTTTTTTCTTTGCTCTGGCCAAACGATTTGTGAGCTTTAATTGATTGGGTCCTTCAAACATGCGATTTTTGGTTTATATCTTGTTGCTTCCGTTTTCTCTCTTCCTCTTTCTCTCTCTTTTGGCTCATTGCTATAAAATATTTGTAAATTTCGTTTGCCTTTGAGGTCCCCACAAAATTGGCTTCTCTCTCCCAACTCTCACGCTCTATCTCTCTTATTTGCCCTCTCTCTATTTCCCGGTTTCTCTCGTTTTATCGCTCTTTTTTCTCCCCCTCCTTCTTTCGCTCATGATATTTTTGATATTTTAGTTCATTTTTGGTTGCTAACAAATAATTTTTCCGAAAAAACCTCGCTACTTTCTACTCTCTCTCTCTCTCTCTTTCTCTCTCTCTCCCTCTCTCGTTATCCATTTATCTCTCTCTTTCTTGACATTTTTATTGGTTTTAGGTCCCCAACAAATTAGTTTCTTTCTCTCAACTCTCTAGCTTTATCTCTTTTTTATTTTCGCTCTTTATCTCTGTCTCTTTCTTTTCTTGTTCCACCCTCTCACCCCCCTCTTTACCTATAGCTCTATAATAATATAAATACCATTTTTTTTTTAAGAATCTCAGCTCGTTTATGCCTCCCTTTCCGCTGTTTCCCCTCTTACCACCCCCTCCCCACCACCTGCCAGCCTCCTTTTGCAAAAACTACGTGCTTTAATTAACTCATTTTAAATGTAATTCGGTTGAGGTAGCCCATCAAAGTCAGGCAAATATACATTTTTGATTAATGTGGTGTGAATAATTTATTCGCATTAAAACAATTAGTTTGGTTAAACCAACATTTATGCCAGTGCGAGGTGAAGTGCAAATACATTGAGGCAGGTGTGTGCAGGTGTGTGCACACATACATATTATTACAAGTGTTGTTGCATGCCCCACAGAAATGTTCATGTCCCTTAACATGGCAGGTTCGTTGCCTCGCCGTGCTGAGCACAATCCAAGGATTCGAGGCTTAATAATTGGAGATGGATAAAACAATATCATATTTTATTTAAAGCATTTAAATGGCCTTCCGAGCAATAATATTTGCCTGGCAAAGTGAACAAACTGAAAGGACATTAGTTCCTTGAGGATGTGCCCGATAATGTGATTTACAACTTCTCAAATAATTATTGAATTTGGCTGAGATATTGCACAAAGTCTTGCCAACAATTGCCATTTAATATATTTAGTAGCTTATTCGCTTTAACGCAGATCAAATTGCACAATTGACTGGAATATTTAATATTGTAGCCCTTTGACGGGAATAACAATATTATATCATATTCTTTTTTTCATTATAAATGTGTTTTTTCAAGGCTCAATTCAAGTGCTTAATTCTGCTAAATTGGTCACAGTTCAAAATATGTGGGCTTTAAAGCTTAACGCCAACTGGGCGAGGCATAAAATATAGCTTAAATACATTTAAATGTGAATATTATGCAGGTCTAATTGACAAAAAAGTCTTGTATTTAGTGCTAGAGTCGAGTCGAGATGAAAGTCTTTATCTAACCAACAGAATCTTTGAAATGCACTTTCCACCGAATAAGTTTTGATTTTGCGTAAAATTTGAAACACGTCTCAAATGATTTTTCATATAGAGCTTTGAAAATGAATTTGAGCGCGAAACGTCATCCACCAAGTCTTTGACTCCCATTTCCACCAAGACGGCATGGATTTTTCGAAAAGTGTGAAACACCCTTCAAACAAATTTAAACAAAAAACTTTGAAATTCAGTTTGAGGCCGATCGGATGGTGAACAAAAAAAGTATCATACAAACGTTTTTCGCCAATTTTCCACACTTGCGCGTGGAATTACCCGGAACCCCGTCTTAACGTGCAATGAAAATTTCAAACAGTTTTATATATATGTAGATATATATCTCCAATTTAGGTATTGCATAACCAAATAACAAAAAACTGAAGCTTTTTGTTTATGCTTATTATTGCTTATGTACTCAATCCAATTTTTCAAGCTACATACAGAAAGATTTCAGATTGACATTTTCGTTATTTAACAAGCAGTTGAATTGCGAAAGATCTTATCGAAATACATTTTCTTATCATATTTCTACAGTATAAGAATATAGTAATATTTTCAATTTCTATGGTCCCACATATTAAGATGCATAAATTATAGCTTTAATTGGTTAAAGCAAATCTTACAACCACATGTACACATATGCATCAATATAACGTATTCCCCACAAATAAGTGTTGGAAAGCAACATAATATAGTATAATATATATTTGATTTCTTTGGAAATAAATATCTAGATTCATAAATTATAGCTTTAATTAGTAAAAGCAAATGCTACACACACATGCACACACCTATTCGTATTACGTATACGCTACAAATTAGTGTTGGAAAGCAACATTAGGCTAACCTCTGTACATCACTCCTCCAGGCCTTCGGCTTTGATAAGCAGACAAATGTACCACATGCCGAAACCGAAAACCGCAACCTTGTTAAATTCCGTTAACCGTCGAGCACACCGCAACAACACACACACACACACACACACTTATTCGACTGTGTGTGTGTGTGTGTGTGTGTCGAAAGTCAACAAAGTTAGCGCGTCGGCTGAGAACAGGCGTAATCCCAAGATGTCAACCGGCCGTAGGCGCCTGAAGAAGTTTCTAATCTGAATATATACGCGTTAAACAAGAAGAATTTGGTGTAATAAACACAACGGGTGCTGGCTATGGGTGCCAGCGGGATGGTAGGACGAGGGGTATAGCTAAACTGCGTACAAGACTTACGCGTAATGCGTACAAAACAAAACAAAGCACGTTTTGCACTCACTGAGGCACAGCAGGTGCTCTGCGACATACATACAGACATACATACATACATACATGCGTACGAATGTGCATACATACACATGTGCATATGTATGTGGCCACGCATGCAGATTCGAGGGTAGCTTGGACGCATATGCTAAGCGTTAAGAGCTAGTTAGTCAAAGTCAGGTAAGGCACAGGAAATGCTGACGCTGGGCCTGAGTCTGGGTCGGGCAAAAAGAGAGAGAGAGAGAGAGAGAGAGAGCGAAAGAAAACAGGAACGTGACAGTCTGCAGCTGGAACTCAGCTGTACAGATTACAGTTCTTTTTCTTGAGCTAATGATGATGTTGCTTCTGATGATGATGACGCTGCTGCTGAGAGCCAAGAGCTAGGACCGAGAACAGCACGAGAATTTCATAAAATGAAATTTCGCTGTACAAGCGTCGCCATAGAGCTCATTTAAGATTTTATTGCTGCTATGTTATGAGAAAATCGTGTCCGCTCTGTGTGCCCCGCTGGCCCTCCTCCATCCACCATACCCACTGTGGGCCCCTGGGTCCGCCCATCAAGTGCAATTAGAATACGCAAAAGGCTTTAAGCCTTCCGTTTGTTATCGCTGTGCATAGTTTCGAGGCGGTGCGCGCCCCTTTAAAATAAAATATCGCAGCAAATGGCAAATCAGATGTCAACAGCAGAAGAAACAACAACAAAAATGTAGCAAACAAAACGAAACAACAGCTAACTACAGCAACAACAATAACAGCAAGGGAAAAAGAAATAGAAAAAAGCAAAAACAACAAAAGCTAACGGAGAGCAGAGGCCGGCAGCGAATGTCAGCAAGAGAACAAGAGCAACAACAACTTCACTAATATAATATTTATTACGGTGATTATGTCTTGAGCCAAGGGCAAGCGCTGGCAACGTCTCACCCACGTCTCACCCACGCCCAGCCGCCTGCCACGCCCCGAGCGTTCACACAGCCGATACAAAAGTGGAAATGAAAGTTGAGAGAAATGTAATAAGCAAGCACAAGCGGGGCGCACGGGGGCACAACGGGACATCAACTATGATGGACGTCGACGTCGACGTCGACGTCGACGTCGCAGTGAGGAGACAACAACTTGCCGTAGGAAGAAACTTTAATTCGTTTTATTCATCTGTATAACGGCAATAAAAACTCGCTTACAAATCAGTTTCTAGAAACAAATCAAAAAACAAAAAAAAAAAAAAAAAAAACAAAAGAAAATAGAAAAAATAACAAGCTTTTTGTTTTCCCAACCACAGCAGCAGCGGAACGCTGAATCAATAAGTGACGCAACGCAGTTTACACCTTTGCACGTGCTTCTCTACACGGGGGACACGTTGCCCGTACAAAGTGTATTTCATCACATTTTTAATTCGATTTCCTTCTATTTTCCGGACTTTGCAATATTTAACAATTTTCTATATATATGCAACGCTCCGAACGTACAAACAATTTTTTACCCCAGGGTACAAGCATACCGATTAGTGTAAAACTTGGTCTCTGATTGATTTTTTAGTGGAAAGAAATGAATTTCAACCGAAATGAAAAACAATCAGATTTCTATAGCAAATAATTCAGTTTTGGGCTGCTCAAATTATGTCAAAAATCGAAACCAGACTCCGAACGGGGTCCAGGCATACATCCACTTGCCTGAGAGCTGGGCACGCAGCTCATCAAGCTCAATGCCTCCAGGTGCCAGGCGGTCGACTACAAGGCTCCAGCAGTCTGTGTACAGCCCCCTTCACCCTGGCAGAAGCGCCAAGATGGCCTTTCCAAGCAGTGCCGCTTTAAGATGGCCAAGGCCAACAGCCTGTTGCCACTTCGCTGCCAAGGGGCAGCTTACGACGTCGTGGTGGCGCCAACTTGGAGCAACGGTATCCAGGTTTGGCTCATTGCATCTCCAAAACTTGTCCTTGCACCGATTGACCAGTGCTGACAGATACATCACAGATTCTGCCTTGCACAGAGACCTCCAAATGGAGACTGTAGACAGGCAAGTCGAAGCATTCAAGAGACCCAGCTGGAAGGTGTGCAGTCAGGTGGCTCAAGAGAAGAGCCTTCAAGGATCTGCTCCAGCCAGGACAAAGAAGACGCCCGCACGAGACAGAAGAAGACACCTTTGACGTTTTTCCACGAATATCCTATTTCTATATATCAAAATATCGGTTCCCTCAAACGCGGTCATATTCTATAGCATAAATACCATCATCTACACAAACTGTTTTATAGCTGGGGTTTCTCTCTCTCTCTCTCATTCTTTTAATTGAAGACTTGTTGGGGTTTTAAAGAGACTAGCCGCATGTCTCTTTCTCTCTATCTCTCTCTCTCTCTCTCTCTACCTCTATCCGCCTCTTTATAAGCTTGTTGATGGGATTTTAATAGACGTTGTTTAAGTCAAGCTCCAGATCTCACTCTCTCTCTCTCCCTCTCTCTCTATCTCTCTCTGTCTCTCTATAGACTTGGGGTGCTCTAGCCATTGTTTCAGCCCAGCCCCATATCCTGTTGTCTCGCTCTCTCATTCTTTTAATCGAAGACTTGTTGGGGTCTTAAAGAGACTGTTTAAGACTAGCTCCATGTCTCTTTCTCTCACTCTATCTTTCTCTCTCTCTCTCTCTCTCTCTCTCTCTCTCTCTCTCTATCGCCCTCTTTATAAACTTGTTGATGGGATTTTAATAGACCGTTGTTTAAGTCAAGCTCCAGATCTCACTCTCACTCTCCTCCTCTCTCATCTCTCTCCTCCCGTCTCCTCCCCCTCCCTCTCCTCTCTCTCTCTCTCTCTCTTTCTCTCTCTCTCTTCTCTCTCTCTCTCTCTCTCTCTCTCAACTTGACTTGTTCTGGGGTCTTATGGATGATGTTTCGGCCCAGCATCATATTTGTCACTCACTTTTTCCCCCTGTCGCCATCCTTCCCCTTCCCTCTTAATAGACTTGTTGTTGGGGTATTTGTCTGTCCCTTTCGCCCCTACCACTTGCTCTCCTCCTTTCCCTCTCTCTCTCTCTCTCTCGCTTGCTTGGAAGTCAACCTGCTTTACCTGGACTAGACCCAAGCCAAATTAAACCAAACCGATTTCTTTTGTATGATTCCAGTTGATCTAACAAAAAATCTAGAAAAGAACTTTCCATGTAGACCGGCAAGCTTGAGATGCACGGCCTATGCTGTCTATAGCGCCTGGATGCGTTGAGGGCAGCTACGTTTTAGGAATAAAATGAAGGTTTCTGATTTCAAGAGGCCCGTTTATCAAAGTCACGTCATCCCGTGCAAAGGATGAGGCGTTTAAAAGTTAATAACACATCATTAGCATCAGCAACAGTCGCGGCCCACCAGCTCCCACGGACGACCCAGTTACAGAACAGACCCAGCATAAGCCTGAGCCCAAGCCTGAGACTTGTTCGGCTGCTCGCCGTTCTCACTGTGATTGGATTTCAGTTTCGTTGTGTCCTGTGTAAGTATGAGGCAAGCTGGGCCATTGCGGTTCCAATATCAGAGGGACACATTAAATATGTGCATGTAATTCGAGTGGCCTTTGCCCCAGAAAGCACTGGCCACAATTACACTCTCTTGCATATGTATCAATAATCTGGTGGGGTCGGGTGGGGGTCCACTCTCAATTTCTTTCGGCCAGGCACAGCAGCTACCAGTGCATCGATATCAACGAGCCTGAGCACACAGAGCAACAGCACAGAAAATAATTTCTATTTTGATGAGCAGAATACCACTACCAAATCGCAATCAATCCTTGCTGCGGACTCGACAGCCGCAATAGCCGACGTCTCACCGATGCCAGCCGAGGCGCTACCGACCCTACCAACAGCCAGAGCACAAGTTGGACTTACAACGCTAACAACTGTCCGGCTGATGGGAAGCGAGACCTCTATGAGAACTGCAGTTGACAGCGATGGGATCGGGAATGGGACAACGGTTAGGAACCATAATGCTGTAGATCTTGGGTCCACGGGCGTGGCGACGGCAGCGGCGGCAACGACCAAGAGCATCAGAAGCACCATTAAGCAACCCAACCTGGATGCCACACGCTCCAGGAACCACTGGACCGTTGGCGGCTCCGCTGATGCGGAACGTTCGCGCACATTTCGCAGCAAGTATCATCATGAGAACCACTACGGTCCGTTCTTCGAGGAGCCATCGAATCTAGTTGATCCCGGCAAGACTCTCGTCTCTGCAGTGCATCTATTTACGGAAGCTGTGCTCAACTGTCGCGTCGGCATGCTCAAGGATAAGACGGTAAGCGGGCTCATTAGCCATGATAATTGATAAGCAAATGAATTGGCTTAGACCACAATCAGCTGTTGGTCTCCGTTGATAGTTTCCTAAATTGTTCATGCTGGAGGACTGTCAAGGACATCACAAACTATGCTAGGGAATTGCTGCATTTTTAACAGTACTCAGAATATTAGAAAAGGACAAAGTAAGGATATCTTTGACACGCCGAAAATGTAATTTCCTTGTAGACATTTCCTTTTTGAGAGAGTGAAGCTCGTTCTACATAAGCATCTTGGAGTACAGAATATTTGGCTAAAAATGAACCTACTTTTCGACCGATCGCTCTTTTAAGTGGTCCGATATTCGATATTGATAAGATTTTACAGACAAACAGAGAGACGGAGATGCAGACATGACTTTATCAACTCGACTGTTGATGCTGATCTGGAGTATATATACTTTTCTGGCTTGCAGATGTCTCCATCCAGGCGTTGCACATTTCATGCCACAATCTAGAATATAATAAAATTAGAGTAGAGGGCCAAAACCCCTCTAGACTATTTACTGTAATTGTAACACACTCTGCAAGGGTGTTAAAAAAATAAAAACACGCAGTCTTAAGCCAATCCCTGGAATCCCCTTTGCAGTCCACACAGGTGTGCCCGTTTAATTCTCTAGCATTTGGTATTTGCGCCAAATTCAATTTCGAATTTCGGCAATCAGGTGGCAACGTTTGCAAAGCAGCACGCATGGCAACGCTGTGCAATCCAATTAACAAACAAAAAAAAAAAAACGTTTCAAATTAAATTTCGAATTCTTGCAATTAGCTGGCAACGTAAGCTGAACATTTTGGAACCCGCTGGCAACGCTGCCAAATCAAACAAATCAGACTAAGTTATTTTACGCCCAGTCATTTGATGTTTCACTGCAAATACAGACAAATAGAGGAAATTAAATGATCGATTGCCGATTGCAGGTAATGTGGGTGAGGCGAACAACTGAGAAGGTGTCACTGCTAACCGTTGGAAATGTCACATATAGCGGGGATCCACGCATACGAGTCAAGTTTCAGTATCCGAACAATTGGCGCCTGATGATAAACCCAACGCAAAGGGAAGATGCTGGCATCTATATGTGCCAGGTTTCAACGCATCCTCCGCGTGTCTTCACCACAAACCTGACCATATTGGGTAGGTGCACACACACACACACACACACACACACACACATACATATATCTCCAAAATGAACTAATCGGCGTATTATCTGAATTGCTTTGGCTGCAGAGCCGCCGTTAAGGATAATCGATGAGCATGAACGCGATGTGGGCGACAGATATTACAAGTCCGGCAGCACTGTGGATCTGCAGTGTCAAATATCTCGGAATTTCTTCCAAAAGGAGCGCCACAGCATACTCAAATCGACGGGCTCGAGCGGCTCAGCCAACAAACCGAATGAGACGGGCAGCGACATAAATCTGATCGCCGATGCGAATCAAACATATAGCACATTCTCGAGCCAGGAGCTGGAGAAATACTTTACTAACTTCATTACCTGGGCCAAGGACGAGGAACCGCTGCCAGCACCGACCAATAGACGTTCCAGGTATGCTTACCATCGAATTCAATGTGCATTCCATTCATGCATTCAATCAATCAATTATTTTGCAGCGTATCCGATAAATGGCTCAACAGTCGCATTTCCATACCAGAAGCCAAGCTCTCAGATAGCGGCAACTATTCCTGTTCCCTTGGTAGACTATTCACTGTAATTGTGCAAGTTCAAGTACTCACGGGTAATAACTGTTGATGCAAGCCCAAAACAAAACATATTACAAATTTTGCATTTGCAGGAGAATTACCCGCCGCAGTCCAACACAATTTGGCACACAGATCCGACAGCTGCTTCTCACTCACCTGGAGTCTCGTCCTCATTCTCATTTGTTTTTATGCTCTCGCGAGCCATTCTTCGCACCTTCACAATATCACTGATGAACGATGAATGATGAATGATGAATGATGAATGATGAGTTGGAATGATGAGTTGGCATTTGTGCTCAGCATCGAATCATTTACTATATAGACATAACATACAGATACGATTTAAATACCAAAACAAAAGAGAATTACTTAAATAGAGCATCTCCAATTATTTCCATATGTGTATGTGTATGCTTAACGCTGTCTAACTGCTAAACTGATCGATTTGTCCAACAAATATTCGTATACTACATACAGATTAACGTTCATAACATATATATACATATATTGAGAGAGCGAGAGAGAGAGAGAGAGAGAGCGAGAGAGAGGTAGAGAATTTTCTATATCAATTTACACGACTTTCATTGATATTCCTCTGAATGAAAGTCGACAACTTGTTTCAACAAATTCGGAATATCAGTTTAACTAATCCCCCAAATGAAGTAGCCCAACATTTATATTAATAATAATAATAATAATAATAACAATATACAACAAAAAACATTTGTGGAAAATCAAATAAAATTTGTTAATCTGTTTCGTTTTGAGTGTAAGCAAGTTCAACTTTCACTTACATGAGTTCTTGACATTTAATTGTGTATTTTTGGCAATTAGTATGTTTGTAAATATTGTAAAATGGCAGACGTTAGGATTTTTACCTTATCCGAAATGTAAACCTCCTTCCCCCATTCTGCTAGCCCAAATGTATAGTTAAAGAAAGTATTGATTTGTATACACGACGATCTAAGTTAACGGTTAACTGTACGAATCGATTAATAAAACCCGAGAATCCCCCCAATATTGTTAAATTTGCGATAATCATGTTCTATCACGATTATCAAGCTATATTACAAATAAATCAAAATACATACTTTCAAATATAAAATCTTGGCAAAATTGTTTTCTTTCATCATCGAAAGTTGTGCATTTCAATAGTTATTTTGCACAAATTTATTCGACTTTAATTCTTATTTAATTATTTAAAGTTGAATTTCCTATTATTTCTGTGTCGTAGCAATTAGGTTTTCAGTGAGTGCCATTGCAGTCTGCTTTTGTCCGACTCATTTAAAGGCAATGTGAAATCAAACAGTTAGATTTTCCACTCAGAACTTGCAAACTCTAATTGGAACTCAGGAGCTAGTTGCAATTTAATTGGCATCTATTTTGTATGCCCAAAAAATAAACTTATTAACTCAAGTTAACTAACATTGTTAGCCAGCAGCCATAACCGCATGCCTAAGAATATTGTACGCTTACCAGACATAATCATTGATGGGCCTTTGCGTTCCTATTTATGGCTATATTTCACATATTCACACATTTGATATACTCAGTTTCCAGCTGTTTATCAAATGAGGGCTGCCAATTAGCGAACTATCGATAAGTTGCAAGCTTGCAAAACTATCGTTTGCAAACAACATGCCGATCGATATTTTTAAAGGCAATCGCAAACTTATTTATAGCACGAATTTATATTTTCTTTTTGTTTAAATACATAACATTAACATTTAGTCAATAACATCAGTTTTTTTTAATATCATTATTGAAAAACAGCCTGCAGCGCATAAAATGTGGGTCTAAAATCGGTCAAACAGTGTGTACAATTTTTTGCATTGCCCAGTGATAAGGCCTATGTATATAGGTACATATATATATATATATATATATGTGTGTATATATGTATTGGTATATAGGTATATTTACATATGTATTAATGTGCTAGAGGCTGCATAAAGAATATGCTTTGAGCCGCTTTCAACAAAATTAAATACGAAAACGTTTTAAACTACCTGTTGGGATAAATGCCCGTGTCCGGGCACAGGTGGGTGGGACTAAGATAATGAACGGCAACAACTGTCGATGGGAAAAACGATTCCTTTTGCCAGTTGTGTTCCGTCTGACTCTGACTTCACCTTGACTAAAGTACACGGGGGCAATGCAAAAACAAAAACAAGAAAAAAAAAGCGATCATGAAAATAATCGACTGGAATGATAACAGTAGTAAAAAAAAAAAAATAAAATAAAATAATAAATAACATGCAAGTGATTTCCCACAGTTCCCACATCCCAAGCAGAGCGTGTGAATCGTCCGGGCAAACATGTTGAAGCTACGTAACATCTTGTCAACAATGGGCCACAATGCCGGCCCTGTCGCGGCCGTCCGGTAAGTTGGTACACATATCTGTAGACGATAAGCACCTGGAATGTGCATCGCATTCATGTGTCTGATTACTTTTACAGGTCGGTTTCAACAACCGCCAGCTGCAAGGACTCAGAGTCGTGGTTCTCCAAGCTGCTGGTGCGAAAGATCGAGCCGACAAAGGAGTCGCACAGTCGCATGCTGAGCGACAAGGAAATTATATATGCATTGCATACGCACAACGTACGCCCCGATTCCATGGGCAACTATCTGAATAATTAGTGAGTGCCAGATCGGATCGTAGATAAGTTATATTAATTCATTTTCCCTCTCTCTCTCTCTCTCTCGCGCACGCTCTCTTTCTGTTTCGCAGCAAAAATACCGTGGCACTTATCAATGAGAAGAAGAGAAGCCTATCGTGCAAATTGGTCGCCTCATGGACCGTCCAAGTGGGCGACATGGATCAGTGTCTGCATCTGTGGAGATATACGGGCGGCTTTGAGAAAATCGATCAGGCCAAAGAGGATCTGTGGAACGATCCAGAGTATTTGAATTTAATGAACGAGCGCTCCAAGTTCCTGCGCTCACGCCATCTGCAATATCTGTTGGCCTTCAGCTATTGGCCACAAATCGAAAGCCGGTCGGGCAAAAACATCTACGAAATGCGGCAAGTTGCAAATATGCTCGATTCCAATCCATTCGATATGCTATTTATTCTCGCATCTATGCCCGTACAGATCGTATCGACTTACCCCGGGCACCATGATCGAATGGGGCAACAATTGGGCGCGTGCCATCAACTTCCGCAAGCATAACAATGAGGCCTTTGCTGGATTCTTCTCACAGATTGGCCGACTCTATAATGTCCATCACATTTGGTGTAAGGCGACAACAAACGAAGAACATTTCACATTCGTCATGTGTTTTATCAGATGAAAGCCAATAATGTTTCCCTGTCTGCAGGTTACAAATCGCTGCAGGATCGCAAGGAGACCAGAGAGGCGGCCTGGCGCTCACCCGGCTGGGATGAGTGTGTGGCATATACTGTGCCATTGATTCGCGAGATGCACTGCCGCGTCCTGGCGCCCACTGAGTTCTCGCCCACACAGTAAACTGTGCACATAAAACTAGAATGATTCAATCAGCAGACCGGCTCTGTGTCTAACTATTTGATTTTAAATGCTGTGAAACATTGACTAACAAATAATGTTGTACCCCCCTCTATCACCGCTCTAACCCTTGCTCCTACTGTTGAAAACTTGTATATAATGCCAGCATTTGAATGCTTTCATTTTTAGCTGCTATTTACTTAAGATAAAAGTGCATTTTTGTTGTCAAACATTTGAAAGCTATGTGTTTTGTGGATATAGCGAATAATAAGAGAGAAAACTAATCAAAAATCAAAATGATCAGAAAAGATACATATGTATATGAAAATTGAAAATCCAATCTATGTACGATAAATAAATTGTGAATGAATTGCATTTAATATTCATTTTAACTAATTTAATATAGTTATATTAAGTAGCACAAAATGATTCGTACAATGAGATAAAAACGTATTTTATAGTTATGACTAAAATATTGACTAGCGTATTCTCGGATGTACATTCAATTTTTCCAACTTTTACAAATGTCTGTGAACAATCAAATTCCCTGCTGCAGCTCCTCTTCAAAAGCGCCTATAACTAAATATAGTCATTTCCGTCTGCATGTTTCTATATGTATATCTCAGAGCATATCATATCAAAGTCCTAGCTTATGTTACACACAAGCCCTTTGATAAGCTATCCGGCCTTGATAAGATTGTGCTAAAGAGAGCTAGAGAGACAAGACATATACAGATATCCGATCAGACCCAATTTTATATATGCAGGTTGAGTCGGAACTCTAGAAACATCCAGCCGGATATGGCTATACCGTTGATGGGGCTTTTCATACTGTTCTTACTGAATGGGATCTGCTAGGCGTTCGTGACAATATTATAATATCCTCGTGAAGGTATAAGATCGACAAGGATCGGGATACTAGATATAGGGTGATTGCTTTATCCAATTGACGATGAACATCTGGCAAATGGCATTCGTCTGCGCCAAAAAGGTGCTGAGGTATAACAAATTTGTGTGACCAGCAAGAATGTGGGAACAATTCGTGATGAATGCGGCTGACATTTGTTAAGCAACTATTGCTTTATTCATAGATAGTTGGGTTTATTGCTTATTGGGTGGAGATCGTTTTCTCTGTCTGGTGACGCACAGTCTTTAGATGCTTCTTGCCCAGCAAGTGCTGCTGCAATATGGATATGTGATTCATGGCCTTATTGCATAGCTTGCAATAATAGGACCCGGAAGGGGTACGATACATGGATAGGTCTCCATTCGTATCGGTGGCGAGGGCGGCTGCTAGTGAATTCTGCTGCTGGCCGCCGCTTGCGTCAAGAGTGGCTGCCTCCTCCTCAAGGATCTGCTTGCGTAGATTTTTCTGGTGCTTGGCACCATCGAGATGCATTTTGATTTGCGATGCGGATGTAACGCTGATTTTGCATACTTTACAGGTAAGGCTTTCGTCTACAACAGGTATCTTAACTATCAGCTGCTGCTGCTGCTGCTGCTGATGCTCGCCATTGGCGGAAACTTCTTGCAGTTCTGCTGCAGCCGTTGCCTTGATGAATAGTTCGCCAATGCCAAAGCGGCCGTCGTCTGGAACAACTTCCGCTTTAGTGCCAGTGCGCACCCATTTGCCTTCCTCATTGTAGAATCCAGCTCCAGATGGCTTTGAACGCTTCTGTACCACCAGCTGATGCTTGCGCCCGGCATAGTGCTGGCGGGCATGAGTCATCGATGTGAGCGCCAGGTCGCACAGATTACAGTGGAATGCATTCGGGCCGGTGGGGCCCTGTTTCACGAGACGTTTAATGGGCGGCGTCTGCAAGCCCACCTCGGTATAGTTTTTGGCCAGCCACGCGCTAATGTGACGATCGTGCGCCTTGGACTCATAATGATCCTTGGCGCTCTTCATGGAGGTCATCTGTGCCTTGCATAATTGACAGGACAGCGGCTGAATCAGTTTGTTCAGCTCGTTCGGGTAGCTTTCGTCGCGGCCCTGAAAAATCGCCAAATTGTTGCCCTCGCCGCCCTCCTCGGATTCGTTTAGTTTCCTTTTTAGCTTGCGCTGGGATGTGACCGTAGGAATTGGTTCATTATCCTTCAGCACAACTGAATCGGTCTCCATTTTTGCCACTGGCTTTTCTTTTCCGGCACGCAGCAAACGCTTTGCACTGACTGAAGACGTTGGCGGCGCAGTCAGCTCAATGTTCACAATCTCGCGAATCTTCTCCGGCTGTGCTCCTGACGTTGTCATTAGCGGTATTTGATAACCACTCAGGTATTCGGAAGCCATTTTTCTGAGACCGAACGTAAGGTTACTTAAAATCTATTTAAAACAGTGCTAGTGATGTGCACATTTCTCGTGTGCCCCACAGCGCAGGCTCTAAAGTTATCGGCCGGGCATCCATCACTAAATGTACAGTGGGTCGTTGCATGCTTGAATGTGAACTTCCTGTCAATGCTATCGATTCGATAGCAATTGTTTAAAGTAGCTCATAAATCTGGGTATTTTGCAATTTCTCTTGAATTAAAAAATCTTTTTGAAAAATAAATCGGCCCACGAAAGAAGACAACTGTTGTTCCATTTTTTTTTTTATTAATCATACCCAGTAGTAAAATGTGGTAGGACCAAAGAAAACCTTCGAATGTACGAAAAGTACCATTTCAATGGTTTTTTTTTAAGATAACATTTAAAAAACCGAGAAGCCTTTAATTGTCTGGCAAAGAACGAATGATATCAGAATCTCCAGGATCGGTAATGGACATCGTGCACACGCGGAAGTATTTGCCGCAGGCGGTGCCCAACTCAATGTTGGTGCCACTGTAGTGCTGGACTTCAGTTTTGGCCAACATGGCGTAGTACTCAATCTCAGACTTCCTGCAATTGTCATCAAGAATATAACATTTAATACCAGCCCAAAACTTATCTAGACTTTTTATGCCCTTCTCTATGGCGTTTGGCATTCAGAAAGAGTCTCTAGTAATAAAATTCGTCACGGCGATCGGAATTACAAAAATCATCATATATACATAAGCTTCAATTATGATAACTATTCAAATCCAATGAGAACAATTTCTTACCCAAGCATCCACACGTGTGCGTGCGTGTGTGTGTGTGTGTGTGTGTTGTTACTGGAACCATTTGGAGACTCGTGCGCGCTGCTGTGTCTTACATTTTGGCGGCTGCCGCTGGTGCTGTTTCGAGACTATGCTACTCCATAGTTTCCATCAATATTATTCATTTGGAATCATATTTCTCAGTCAGCATTAAAGAAGACTCCATATGGTTCCAATAACTACAACATCAGCTAATTATCGCTGTTCATACTTGGGCGTAATGGAAATCTACTTCTCGGTAGCATTTGCTTCTAATTTGAATCAATACCAGAACATGTTCGTTCTCACCTCAAAGCAGGCGTGTTGCTGGCGATGAGCACCAGTTTGGCCTTGCCCTGACGCAGGGTCTTCAGAGTCTGCTTGTATCCCAGGCAGTATTTGCCGGATTTCATAACCAGCGCCAGACGCGCATTGGTGCTCTCTAAAGCCTTCTTTTGTTTCTTTACGGCAACCATGTTGAAGGTTTTTCACAAAAACAACTATATGCAAACGAGAATAATAACTTTAAGCAATCTTTTTTCCACTTTACACGCGGAGCAAAACAACCTACCTTGGTCGAGCGACGGTGGTAAAAAGGCAGAATTGCACGAAAAACGGAAACACGCTGCCTCTGTCAGGGCTGCAGAAAATATTTATACACTAGCCCTGGGCTTGATGTCGAACAGCACGATTAATTGCACGACAGGGCTGCTTATACTAATCGATTAGTAACTAAATTGCTTAGATAAATTAACAATTGTATTAGTAAACCGCCAAATTTTGTATATTCGCAAATGTTTAATTTCTTCAACAAATTACAACCCACTTTGTTTTCATGACTAGAAAAAAATACCGCTCTGCGCTTTCATCGCTTTCATCAAGCAACAATATCGAATAGAATTATTGACGTCACAAAGATGGCGAACATGTGAAGGCGCAAGTGTTTTCACAAACGTGCACACATACATGCACACGGCCATATGATATGCTTGCATGTGTATGCATGTGTACAACTTTATTGTGATCTATCGCACATGTAGCCGCATATAAACATGCATCGAAGGAAAAGCGCAAAATCGGTAAATAAGCCGCCGCCGATTCAGGCGATACCCAAAAAGAACACATTCGATGGCGACAACGACATACAATTCGAGCTGGAGCTCTGCTGGTGTGTCCAGCAATTGCAAACAGCTCTAGACAGCGGCAAGCTGAGCCAAAAAATTGGTATGCCCTCAACCGAATAACATTAATAATACCACACTCAACTACATTCCCAACACAGCTGAGGATACGGCCAAGAACCTGAAAACATTAACAAGCCAAACGGCGCCCCTCATTAAGAAGCGGCAGGTCATGAAGCTCGCCCTGGGCGATTACAGGCTAAAAATGCAACAGGAAGAGAAGAAAATGCTGCTAGGTAAGAGAGATATGTGCATGGAACTTCAGCTTAAATGCAAGCCAGATAGACCCCATTGATATGCTGTGGAAGGGGCCAGGCCAGGCGAATCAAGCGACTTCTTGGTTCAAGCCAAGCTAATGCTAAGCTATAATATGTCATGTATATATCAGGCAATGGTACTTGTTATCTGTCTGTCTCCTTCTAATACGTGAGGCGCTGTGGACGGCGGATCTTAGTGCAAGATTCATAGATTTATCTTCTTTCTCGTTTACATTTCAGCTTCAAAGCAAATCAAATTTACTGCAGCTGCCGATACGAATAAGAAGTCAAGCTTTGTCAAGAAGTCAGCGCTGCTAACGTCCGGTAAGGATTTTCGCTTTGACTTTGCGCTGCCCGCGGGCAACAATAACGAGCCAGACGGAAGCCCAGCGGCTGGCCAGCCCGCGGCCGTGGCAGCTCAAGCTGATGCCTCTGCGCCGAGCAGCAGCCTGCTAACGGGCAATGGATGCCAGTTCAAGTTCAATTTTGCCATTGACAATGCGCCCGAGGATATCAACTTCGAGGGCTTAATGTTAAATAGCTAATAGGTTAGAGCAACAACAAAAATAAAGTAGTTAACATATAAATTATAAGCTCTAATTTTGGTTTCGTTTCGATGAAATGTCAGAGTTCATTCTTAAATACTTTTTATTGTTTCTGCAAATGCAATCGCAGCAGTGTAACTGTACAATATCAAAATATGATTCGGCGGCGTTGTCTTCTATATATAGCTATACAATATATATATATATATGTATGTGTATATATGTGTGTGTGTGTATATAAAGATATGGTGCAAAAATGAAAGCCAATTGAACAAGCGGCGTTTCAATGGCGCGAACATAAGCCCCTTGACAATGTTTTATCAAATTGGCCGCCAGTTTGTTGTTGGTAGACTTCGATTGTGTCGCCCTCTTCCATTTCTAGCGAGGTAGGTGTGTCGTTCTCATTGATCGGTTGTCCATCGAAACGAAATCGCACCACTTGCATGGAAAGGCCCTAAAGAGATGGAGGGGAAAAGCCCAAATGATGAGCACAAATTTGATTTTGAACTTGAAATGGAAATGGAAGACTTACAGCTCGATCGCAATAGGCGTTCATTAGTTTGCGCAGAGGCGTGTGTTTCTTGATCTTGAATTGTACGACCGCATTATCCTGGCCCAACACCTTCAGGTTGATGTGCTCGGTTTCAGTCTGTGCGGATGATATATAACAATATTTGTATACGATTAATAAATACAACAAACTGCTGCGCATGCAACTCTTCAATGTCGAATACAAATATTGGCGGCATTTCTTTTTTGTTTCTTCTTTACAAATCGTCAAATTGCGTATCTCCAACGTGCGCTAATATTTGAATGCGGAGCTTCAAATGTGAGAAACATGTTCCATTTTTATTTTTGTTTGCTTTTGTATGTGCGTATATACATATGTATATATATATATATATGTGTGTGTGTGTGTGTGTGTGCATATATACACAACACACGCCGGCTTTATTTCGCACCATATTCAACAACATATTCGCGCATTATTATTTAGGCCACAGTTTGGCAGCCAAAACAAATAAATGAGTACATACCTTCTTTTCCTCAGACATTTTCTAGTTGTTTTCGGAGTTCTGATAATGTATATTATAATGGAGTGTGACAATTAAAGCCAACGTTGTCAGCGAAGTGAGTTTGATACAACAACAAAATCAGCGATGACCGATAGCCGCTAGTGTTTTGATGTTCGCACTTTGAGCCAGTTCAATTGAGCTGGTTTCGGAGTGCTTGGAACAAGGGAAAAGCGAAAAAGTGCTGCGCTGCTCGGTTCGGAACTAGAATTAATGAAGTTGTGTTCGGTGAACTGAACAATTTTTTTTTTTTTTTTTTTACAATTAAGGGTATTCCCATCTTTGATATTTACATGATGACTCGAATACGTATGAAGAATCGAGTATATATAATCTTGATCAGTATAGATAATTGATTATGCTAAGGCATTTCTATAAGTTATTTATTTAATCAATCAATAGGCAAATGGCATTTTTGAATAATACGATAATCTTTATTCTATTAAAGGTAATATGAAAAATACTCAATATGGAAGTTATTACTTTTCTATACATAATACATGCATATATGTATGTACATAAATCTATATTTGTTTATATAGAGATATATGTATACATATATGTATATGTATATGTTACATTTACAATATTAACTCTATATTTATGTACACACGTTTTGCTTTTCTTCTTTATTTTCTTTTTCATCTTGTTGTTGTTGTTTTTTTTTTTTTTTTTTTTTTCTTTAATTGATTGAATATATTTTTGTTATACTAAGTTCGTGTACACATACACATACATACATATGTACATCTATAGCACTTTGAATTCAATGTATGTATGTATGTAGGTTTATCTTTTATTTTAATTTATTTTTTATTGTATTCACTGATATGCATTTATTTAATTATTAATTGTTACACACATATGTATGTATGCACATAATGCATCTATGTATGAGTAAAAACATATTACTCACAAGCAAAGCTGTATGCATGTGTGCATGTATGTATGCATGTATATAGCTTTCATTTTTGTATGAATAAAATGCCAATATTTTTCCAATATCGCATTTATAGAGCAAATCCGACTATAGAAAATGGAATGGCAGCCTGATTATCACACAGATCACACATACATACATGCATACAAATACAAAAAATATAGATGAATATTCTATATAATCGCACTCTGTGCACACACACACACACACACATACACACACACATACATGCATACATATAGAATTGCTGAGCATTATTTGATTTACATGTTAACACATATACATATATATCGATTCTTGGAAAAAGGATATCTAAAATTCTGGTTCGCTTACACATACATACACACATGCGCGTACATACATATGCACTAAGTATAGTTATAATGCACATTTAGATGTTGAAAAAGCTTAGCAATTAAAATTGAAGTTATCTAAAAATATATAAAAAAAATTACAATCATAAATGAATTGTCATCTAACTACTTACATCCGAAATATACAGTAACATACTTAAAAATCTTTTCTAGACATATGATTTGAATTTCTGATATACATACATACATACAGACGTATGTACACGTACATATATTCATATAGAAACACACTCCGAGGTATAAAAAGCGATTTTTTTCTTCAATTTTTTTTTTTTTTTTTTTTTGAGATAAGACATGAAGAACCGTGTACACATATTATAATAAAGAATTAAGTGTACTATCTATAAATTCTGAAAGTTTCAGCTGAATATATGTAAGTACATTTGTTATTTGTGATGGATGCACTAACGATGTACATAAGCATGTACAATACTCGCTTTGCTTTGCTTTACTTTTTGTATTGTGTGTTGTCAATATAATAAAATATATAGTATGTCCCATATATATATATATATATATATATATATATATATTTTGTGTGTACATATATGTATATATAGATATCCTATTGTGTATAGATAGTTGCCGAATACCCGCGCTAACTAGAGATGAGCAATTTGATCATTTTTGATCTAATATAGGTGTATTTTCACTTCCCGTTTCATCATCATCATCATCATCATCATCATCTGCTTCTTCTTCTTTGTCGTTTTCTTGTGTCTCGTAAAAACAGTTATTTAGCATTCACCGTTTACATATATGAATAGACCGCTAAACTATGTACAGTTATGCACAATATAATAAAGTTTTCATTCTATTTACATCATTTATTTGTATTTGCATTTGATTTCCTTTTCTTTTCATAACTGTTTTATGTTTAACCATGTTTTGTTCTATTTATAGCTATTTCCTATAATCAATTACGTTCATTTCTGTGGGTCTAACGTACATGCATGCATACATATATGTATGTGCATACATACACATACGCATGCATATGTACATATGCATGCATGTAGTTCTGTACTAAGTACAGTCGTGGGTAAGAACTTATAGTGGGGCATACCGAGGCATTTATGTATTCTCTCTTCTCGCTTCTCAGCGCTGATTTGTTTTTTTTTTTTATTTTTTTATTTTTATATATTTATTTTTTTTTTTTACTCCAATAACATTTAACTACACAGAGTCGCATTTGTCTGCTTGGCTGTCTTACATTGGTATCACAATTGGAGAATGCCTGTCAAGCAATATTTATATTTTGTTGTTGTTTATTTTTATTTTTTTGGTTTTTTGCTTCTAATAATTAGTATTGCACACCTATAGGTGCTTATACTGAACAATACCACCCCTCTCTGCCGCGCTCACACAATCGGGTTACATAGAAAAACTGCTCGTAGAGCCCCCCCATATGCTGCCTCTGGCTCAATGAGGCTTATCTGTTACGGAATTCGGAAGTGGAACTGGTGGCAAATAGACTTTAGTTGTACATAGATACATAAGTAGTTAATATAAAACTGACTTAACCAATATATATATATATACACATATATATATATATTGATATAGATTAACAAGATAACTAAACGATTTTATGAACATTGAGAATCCAATATATGTCTCATGTTCTTGCTATATATAAGTATAAGTATATTCATATTCATATTCATAATTAAATATTCATTTATATATGTGTTTATATAAAAGTACAAAATTGTTGTTGTTGTTGTTGTTGTTGTTGTTGTTATGCACTAGTTTTATCTAAATGATTTGCCGCTTCTTGTGTTTCGTGTCAAATTGTGAATGCATATTTGTATGTTTTGTAGGTACTTTTGTACTACCATGATCAGAATGCTGGGATCAAATGATGTTTATAGCGAAATCGGAACGCCTATAGCTAACATATTCCATCTGGACAGAGAGAGATAGAGACAGAGAGAGAGAGAGAGAGAGAGGGAGATACAGAGAGAGAGAGAGGGAGAGTTCGCAATCATTAATCCACATCGCATTTGATCACAGTAGCGTTTAGTTAGAAGCTTGTTTAAGGTACTTAAATGTTTCTTTAAATTTCCATTTCAGTGGTAAGTTTAGATACACGCACACACGTGTATATTATGTTGTAGGTACATATTCGAATACAATTCAATAGTTGTTAAAATTAATTTGTGGTTTTCCATTTTTGCATAACAAAACTTAATTTACATAATAATCGAAAAGATAAACAATAATTGATTAAATCACGCACATTTATCGAATACAAATACTTAACAGATTTTCTTTTTTGTTTTCTCTTTCTTTTTTTTTTCGCTATATAGAAGGAATTGTTGACCGTAGTTATAATGTGAATATCTTAATTGTAGAGTAAGAATTTGTTTGCTTTTCGGTTAGAATTCAAATTAGGGTCTTTCCCAATCGTATTTACATATACATATGTATGTCACGCTATAAGGTTGAGTAAGTGCACATACATACACACACATATATATATACATAGTGATTATTATTATTATTATTATTATTATTATTATTATTATTATTTGTTGTTCAATATATGCGTGTATGTATGTGTGTGAGTTATAAATAAAAATGCTTATTAGTTTTGGTTTGTTATTTTCATAAATTTCTCGTTTGCTCTTATGTTTCTTTTTTTTTTTTGTTGCTTTTGTTTTTGGGAAATTATAGTAAACATTTATATAGCACAAGGTATATTACGTAAGCCCGTATAAAAAGTATAAAATTGTTTTTTTACTTTACTTGTTTTTATAAAAATTACAAATGTTCATATAAAAATAGATATACATATAAAAAAAAAAATGAAGTCAAATAGTAATACGCACACACATAGAGCACACAAAAAAATTGTTTAATTATAATCATCATTTTCTTTGTCTTCGGCGAACCGAAGCTGGCATACCCTAGGAAAACTGGGCTTAGGAAATGCCATAGAGATTTCTGTCAATTGAAAAAAAAAAAAAATACAAAAGATACAGACATTCATTTTGAATCACATCTTAAGCAGACAATTTGAGAAATACATAAAATATAGATTACGTTCTCACATCGTAATCGTAATCTGACACACAAAAGGTATATGACAATTAAATAAGTACGAAAGATATATACTATGATTTTGAATAACATCGGAATTTGACAATCAAATAAGTACAAGAGATATAGACTATGATTTTTGAATGACATCGTAGACTTGCAGCTGCAGCAACTCTTGTCAAAAATGTCATTTAACAAATAAATCGATTGGGTTTTACAATTCGAATTCGTCGCTTGTTTGGTTCAAAGGGTATGCCATATGTCGTCGTTCTCATGTTTCGGTTAGTTTTCAATCCTTGACTTTTATCGTGATACAAAACCGAACTTATCTCAAG